GCCCGCCCCGCGCGGCGGCTACACCTGCAGTGTGCCGTGAGCCGGCCATGCAGAGGTGCGAAAAGGCCCAGCCCCCTATCGGTACCTGTTCGTGTGCGACATCGAGATAGCGGGCATTGCAGAGGCGTAGGAGTAGGCATACAAGGGCCAATGCTGCATGGGAGCTAGTCAACGGAGGATAGAGAGATGTAAATCGGGGTTCAAAGTTTTGGCAGGTACACCAATATCAAATTGATACCAAATTGATTTTCGCTATTCCACACATACTTTTGACACAGGCGTCACTTCCCGAAAGTTGTACTTAGCCTGGGTGGGAAGCGTTTTGACCAGACCTGCCAGTCATTTGCGTGTATAGGCCGTAAAACCACGGCGTGCCGCGTCGCAATACTGACGATGGCTTATGATACATACATCAATTTGAACTGTGTGCGAAATTTTTGTCCCAAGGTTGCATACCCTTTACATACGCTTTACATACTTTACATTACATTGCATACGCAGCGGAAGGTAAATTGGATGAAGTGCAGAAATTTTCTCAAAGGCCTACTCTGGAAGTTTTGGGTCCTTTAACTTTTTCAGAGTGATAATCATTTAATTATGAAAAAAGTTTGAAAACCTATTCCTATGCACAAACATATCCCGCGACCGCCTGGGGGGAGTCGGATCCGACCCCTCCCCTTCGTTTTTCTTAAATAACTCATGAACCGCTTAGGCTATCACCTTGAAACTTGGCATATCTTCTTCCCCATCAATTTGACGTCTCCTGTGTAATTTTTAGGATTTTTTCCCAATTTTTTTTATATATCGATTTTAGTGATGTAACTACATGGCGTTTTCAGTCAAAAAGTGGTAAATGTTTAAAAAATCGCCAAAAATCGAGGTTTAAATTGCAAATTAGGGACATGAATAGACGCAGCTCAACGAGTTCTTTAAAATGGATATCTCGGATTTTCCATAAAATGCGTTTTTCACCCCTAAGAATTCAAAAAACAATATTTTTTGGAAAACAGCTAACAAAATCCAAAATTTTGGGAAATTCCAAAAAACGGAATATATGTTATAGAACTCTATTAGAACATTAGATGTCCCAAATTTCAACTTTCCATCTTGATTTTTGACCCCTAAATTGTAGAAAATAGCTCCAACATGCATAGGGCATGGTGACGTCATAAGCATTCTCGTGAATTAGAGGCACTTCTGAACATCGCATGTGAAAACAAATGGCACCACTAGATTCCTGGGACAAAGCGCGTCTAGCATAGTGCATTTTTATGTCAAAAATAAAAAATTGAAAAAAAAAATGACTTTTTCCTTAGCCCTCGATTAGTTATGTATGATATAAACGATTTTTTATGCTTTCAATGCACACTTATCACCAGCACAGTGAGTCGGGGTCACATGACACATATAACCATTACCATCGGATTCGGCGTGAAAAATAAGCCATAAAACATGTGTCGCACGACCATGAAGCAGAAAGTGAAAACCGTGACCTTTCGTGACCTGACCTGACCTTGACCCGTACTTAGTATGACCCCTATACGCACATGGTACCTTCACTAGGTCTTTGAGGTCATTTTTGGTGAGTTTCGAGCGGCAGCTATCGATTCCGCGGTCCGTAAGCCTTATCATGCAAAACCCCAGAATTTGACCTTTGACCTGACCTTGACCCGAAAGTTGACCTCAATCTTAGCCCGCGCACCGATGGGGGTCTGCGCCAACTTCGCACCGACGGGGGGGCGGATGACCGCCCCCCCCCCCCTGAGATCTCGAGAACGAAGCAAGATAGCGACAAGCGGTAAACGGCATCGGATACGCACGGCCAAGATCTACAATTTTTACAAAGGTCATTTTCAGGTCAGGTCAAAGATGACGTCACAGGGGTCGAAAAAGTCAAAATGGCGGCGCTAGATATGGAGAGAGTTTTTCTCGAATAACTTTCGAATTAGTCAAGATAGGAACAAACTAAGGGCATCATCGTGATCCTCTCGTCAATCCGCATCGAATGATATATATATATATATATATATATATATATATATATATATATATATATATATATATATATATATATATATATATATATATATATATATATATATATATATATATATATATATATATATATATATATATATATATATATATATATATATATCATTCGATGCGGATTGACGGGGGGGCGGATGACCGCCCCCCCCCCTGAGATCTCGAGAACGAAGCAAGATAGCGACAAGCGGTAAACGGCATCGGATACGCACGGCCAAGATCTACAATTTTTACAAAGGTCATTTTCAGGTCAGGTCAAAGATGACGTCACAGGGGTCGAAAAAGTCAAAATGGCGGCGCTAGATATGGAGAGAGTTTTTCTCGAATAACTTTCGAATTAGTCAAGATAGGAACAAACTAAGGGCATCATCGTGATCCTCTCGTCAATCCGCATCGAATGATATATATGTTGACCTCGAAAGGTCAAGGTCAAAGGTTAACCTCAGGTCACGTGACCTCGAGGTCATCATGTATATCATTCGATGCGTCTTGACGAGCTGAACACAATGAGACCATCGACGCGTCTGTATCTTGTTCCTGTACGGAGTTATTGGCCAAAAACCTTTGGTGACCTTTGATGACGTCACATGACCTCACAGCTGCCCAACAGCAAAACAGACCTCAAGGTAGTGAAGGTTGATCGTATGTGAAGTCATGTATGGTATATGGGGCCATTCCGACCCGTTTTAGTGGTAAAAACAGGGAGTTGATTTTTCCCCCATTGACTTATAATGGGGAGGTCGCGAAATTGACCTGACCTTAGGTCACTGATATCAAAATTCCGAGATATACAAATTGTAGCTACTAATAACCTAATAATATCCTGCGACTTTCAAAGGCCTCCGACATCTACTGTAGCTCTGGCACGGTGACAAAGTTGCAAATAAGTGACTTGAGGTTGGGTCATTCAAAGTGACCTGGTGACCTGACCTTAAAAGGTAGGAGGTTCAAACTTGCACACCATGTGTAAAATTAATGAGGGAATAGTCATACCAAATTTCGCGGCGCTACGCGCCGTGGTTTTCCCGCTATTCGCGAAAAACCTCAGGGCGGGGCGGATATCCGCCCCCCCCCCCGTCGGTGCGCGGGTTAAAATCTTAACCCGCGCACCGACGGGGGTCTGCGCCAACTTCGCACCGACGGGGGGGGGGGGGGGGCGGATGACCGCCCCCCCCCCCCCCCCCTGAGATCTCGAGAACGAAGCAAGATAGCGACAAGCGGTAAACGGCATCGGATACGCATGGCCAAGATCTACAATTTTTACTAAGGTCATTTTCAGGTCAGGTCAAAGATGACGTCACAGGGGTCGAAAAAGTCAAAATGGCGGCGCTAGATATGGAGAGAGTTTTTCTCGAATAACTTTCGAATTAGTCAAGATAGGAACAAACTAAGGGCATCATCGTGATCCTCTCGTCAATCCGCATCGAATGATATATATGTTGACCTCGAAAGGTCAAGGTCAAAGGTTAACCTCAGGTCACGTGACCTCGAGGTCATCATGTATATCATTCGATGCGTCTTGACAAGCTGAACACAATGAGACCATCCACGCGTCTGTATCTTGTTCCTGTACGGAGTTATTGGCCAAAAACCTTTGGTGACCTTTGATGACGTCACATGACCTCACAGCTGCCCAACAGCAAAACAGACCTCAAGGTAGTGAAGGTTGATCGTATGTGAAGTCATGTATGGTATATGGGGCCATTCCGACCCGTTTTAGTGGTAAAAACAGGGAGTTGATTTTTCCCCCATTGACTTATAATGGGGAGGTCGCGAAATTGACCTGACCTTAGGTCACCGATATCAAAATTCCGAGATATACAAATTGTAGCTACTAATGACCTTATAATATCCTGCGACTTTCAAAGGCCTCCGACATCTACTGTAGCTCTGGCACGGTGACAAGGTTGCAAAAAAGTGACTTGAGGTTGGGTCATTCAAAGTGACCTGGTGACCTGACCTTAAAAGGTAGGAGGTTCAAACTTTCACACCATGTGTAAAATTGATGAGGTTATAGTCATACCAAATTTCGTAGCGCCGCGGTTTTCCCGCTATTCGCGAAAAACCTCAGGGGGGCGGATATCCGCCCCCCCGTCGGTGCGAGGGTTAAGTGTGCTTTGGGAAGGTCTCGTAGACACCTTTCGAACGCCGCCTCGCGGTGCTCGATACGACCATTGGTTCTCGAGATAACAGGGGGGTCGGATCCGACCCCCCCTCCCATGCTGTCGTGGCCGTGGGTACGGAAATAGCCCAGGCGGTGCCGGGTTATGCAAAATGTTTCAAATTTGAGTGTATCCACCAAAAAAATCAAAGCATGAAGGAGCAAAGCGCGACTAGTTTTTGCTGGCTAATCTCATTTTAGTCTAGCTACCACCAGCAGCGTCTAAAGTCAGTAGTAGCCGCTTTCATGACGGACTATCCGGCAAGTGCACCTAATTTGACCAAATCTGCACCTAATCACTTTTACAGCAAATATCTTTATTTAATGCATTTATTTCAGTGTTTTAATCGATGATACTTTCTGATAATATGGCAAAGCAGGCATATAAGCAATTAGTGCAACCCTAGCTGATAGCTACTAAGAGACACACTGAACCTAATTTGACCAAATCTGCACCTAATTTGCACCAGGTGTGCACCAAATATACCAGATGGCCGTCATGAAAACGGCTAATATGGACCCGCTGGACCCGGCTAATATGGACCCAATAATGTCAGAAAAGTCGAACTATTTAAGGAAAAAATGATGTTCTTAGTTAAAGGGCGACAATTAACTAGACAATGGAGTGTTCTGTAGTGATGCTATCTGCACACTGTACCTCGTAAGTATTCCCAGTTGGAAAAGTCTGTTTTACTTTATGCAACTAATGATACCTACCTACGTATGTATTCATTTACTTTTAGGGAACGGGTCCAACTGGTTTCGATTCCAACTGAGACCGGGTCTGACTGGTTTTAGAAATGTCCAGTTGGGTCTGGCTCGAGTCTGGTTCAAATTTTCTAATCAGTTGCTACCTCTAGTGTAAACATTTCTCGCTGCGTGGTGGGCAGGGTAAGCAGAATATCCGCTCTGCAACATATCTGCGTGACATTTGAAGCTCCGACTGGCTGTGGCGGCGTCCACAAATGCCGCAACGGCATGGATTTTTCCTGCTTTCTGTGTTACTTTCATAGTATTGACAAATAATGAGACTTCAAATGCGAAAACGTTACAATTATTATTGCCTCAATTTTGATTTTTCTCGAACCAGACCAAACGTATATAAAAGAAATTAAGCAACGTCCCGTGATTGACGAGTGCTCTCTCTTCATCAAACATAAATGCCGAGAAGAGGAGCAGCTGGGACTACTGCACGTGTCTATCCAGGCAGCGAAAACATGGCTGCCGCGGGGCTGGTGCTGGTGCGTCTGCTGGTGCTGGCGGCAGTGGTGTCCACTCTAACCGCTCTGAACGGTGAGTGACTCCGTGGAGTCGACTCTAACCGCTCTGAACGGTGACTCGGTGGAGTCGACTCTAACCGCTCCGCAGAACGATAAGTGACTCGGTGGTGTCGACTCTAACCGCTCTGAACGGTGACTCGGTGGAGTCGACCCTAACCACTCTGAACGGTGTCTCGGTAGAGTCGACTCTAACAACTCTGAACGGTGAGTGTCTGAGTCGGTAGAGTCACCTCAGAAAACAGACGCTCAGTCAAGCAGAGTTCTCCCTGTTGGGATAGCCGCTTTGGGTCTAATAAGTTTTTCTTAGGGACTAAAATTTGAGGGTTAACATTGCTAGTGGTTATTTTTCTTTTGGTGACCTCCAATGAGCTCAGCGGTGACCTGATAAAATGGTCACTTGTTGTCAGTGCCCGTGCCGCCGAGTGCCTCTGCTCCGTTCAAGACCCGACGTGCCACTTTCCTGGCCTGCGTCTAGGCCTGAGAGCGGCCCTGTTCCGTTTCAGACCCGACGTGTGAGTGTCCGGACGGTTTTAAGCTGTGCGCCGGCCACTGCCTGCGGCGGCTGGACCGGGCGCTCACCTACGACGAGGCTCGGATCATGTGCGCCGGCCTGGGCGCCCACCTGGCCGTGCCGCGCACAGAGGCGGAGAACCAGTGCGCCGACAGCGCCGCCGCCGGCCAGCTCGTCTGGCTGGGCGTCACGGAGGTGCCCGGAGACGAGGGACACTACGTCGGCGCCGACGCGTGCGGCGACGTGCCCGTCGGCCAGTTCTGGGCCAGCGGCCAGCCGGAGAACTACGGGCCGCGCGGCGAGGACCGGGTGGTGATGGTTCCGCATGACAGCGGTACCGTGCACGCCGTCGGATGGCACGACAACCCGGCCGAACAGGAATGGCACCCACTCTGCCAGCGCTCGCTGTTCTACCGGCCCGACTGCCTGAACTGAATGACATAGGTACTGACGCTCTACGGCTGTGTGAACTGAATGACATACTGACGCTATACCGGCCCGACTGCCTGAACTGAATGACATACTGACGTTCTACGACTGTGTGAACTGAATAACATACTGACGCTCTACGACTGAATGGACTATATGATCTACTGACGCTCTACCGGCCGCACCGCGTGAATTGAATAAATAGCCCCCTGTCAGAACAACTGATTTTATATTGATTATGAAATGCATTCGGCTGTCTAAAAATTACTTTGGCTGGAGCTTCAGGTTTCAGTATATTCACCCGGCAATACAAATATACGCAACTCGTAATTTTGCCTTTGTCTAGCGGATGACACAGCAATGTTGTGGCCAGGTTGTATTATCAGTCCGAAGTCATTGCTTAACCAATTCGATGTATGTAAATACGTATGAGGATTATAAACTGTACGCCATTGGCCACAATTGGTTATCTGGGAAATGAAGCCACTTTGACCAAATCTATGAATGGAATGAATATGAGTAACCTATTGTTCATGTTATATGTTCCGAAATGGATCTAATCAAAACTTAGTTAACCCGCACCCCGTTGGGGTCCGCCGATCAACGCGCCCCGTTGGGGGGGGGGGACATTTCCCCCCTCTCCTAAGATCTCGAGAACCACGCAACATAGCGACAAGCAGCAAACGGTGTTAGATAGCCCCAACAGAGAACTACCTTGTGACCCAATTTCATTGACCTTGATCAAACAGATGACGTCACAGACCAGGTCAAAGGTCGAATTATCACCTTTTACAGGAATTTCAAGAAATGTGTTGTAAAATTGAGTAACATCCATGTCATTTGAAAATCATCGATGGGGCATTGTTCGTCAAACACATATTTTGCTATTTGATGTCACTGATACCAGGTCAGGTCACAAAGGTCAGGTCACTGAGGGTCACAATGTGAAAGTATCATGTGTTGCATGCTTTATGGTCCATTTTACATGGCAAATGTGATTATGTGGGTCAGGCAGACTTTGGGGCATGTATAGGTTATGTTCTGGTGAAAGTCAGGTCAAGGGCAGGTAAAATTATGTCAAATTTCAAACTTAATATCTTTGCATAAAATAGGTACCGATTCGATACAGCTCGACATGGAGAGTGTAATGGTGTTCTTTGTTTTGCGCTACATGGTCTACAATTGCTAGAAATTGAGTTAAAAACATAAGTGAACCTGTGCATGCGGTCTTCAGATGTCGCAACTTCGCAACGCCCTCACTGCCAGAGGAGCTTTCACAGGGAAATGAAACTTGCAGGATCTAGTATCCATTACGAGTCTCATAACTTTTATATCTCGGATTTTTCCTAAAGGTCATATGAGGTCAGGCCATTTTTGTGACCTCACCATTATAAGTCAATGGGGAAAAATGAAAACTGCTATTCTGGCGCCGGGAACGATCTCCAACTATCTCAAGCACACAGAATCGTAATTTGATGCTATGGCACCCAGACAAAGCATTAAATACCCTCTACATTTTGCATCACTAGTGCAGCTGGCTATAGTGGCTACGTTACTTTTTGAACAACAAAAGCCGTTGCGCATTATATTAGTCGCTAGCAGTGTAAGATTTCGAGCTGCATTGAAGTTGAGATGACGTGTTGGGCGTTTTTACTTGCGAAATTGACTTTTTACAGTATGCGTCAACATCTTCATTCCCTGAATCTTTAACCCGCGCCCCACTGCACGGTAGGCGATCGGGCCGGTCTAGCCTCGCGAAAACTCAAAGACACTTTTTTCCGAAAATTGGAAAACAACGCATACTAGTCGACAGAAAATTCATCAAAGATTACGATTAGTGCATTTGCATGGCTCAGGAGACATTTTTTCGTAGACAAAAGTATCGTTAAAGACAGCGTTCCGTAACACTTCATAGTGGGGATAATCACAGCCGATTTTTACGCTCTTTGAATATTTTGCGGAACGATGAAATTGCTAGGTGCTGAGCATCCATTTTGCATGGAAAGTGAAATTTAGATGTTTAGACGATTCCGCCATAGAAAGCAATTAGACAAAATCAGTTCAAAATGTCTTATAATTAGGTTAACTTTTTATATTTTTTTCTACCACTGAACATTACGTTCATTGAATTAACTAAGCCCAGCAAAAAAAGTTTTACGAGGATGAACTGAAAATAATGCTGTATCGCATGCACTAAGACACTATCTATTAGGGGAGCCAGTGAAAATTTGCAGCCACTTGCAGCCCTGGCATCCAGACACTTTTTTCTTCTAAGGGTTGGCCGTGGCTTGGTGCACTTGAGCACAAGTGGTAAATGCCCCAAAGGGTGTTTTCGCGATAGCTCAAAACACCCAGGCAATAGAGAGCTGCAACTTGGCATACCTGACCTTTGATGCACGCTGGATCTTGTGACACCAACCGCACTTTCAAGTCAGGTCAGGTCACTGACCTATGACGTCATAAATGAACCTCTGCACGATCCTCAGATGTCGCAGCCTTTCAACGCTCTCAGTGCCAGAGTAACTTTCACAGGGAGGTGAGACTTGCAGGACTTATTGTCCTTCAGAGGTCTTACAACTTGTATATCTCAGATTTTTCCTAAATGTCACATGAAGTCAGGCTGGTCACGTGACCTCACCTATAAGTCAATGGAGAAATATGAAAACTGTTATTTTGGCGCCAGGAATGATATTCAATTGTCTCAAGTACATGGAATCGTTACTTCATGCACTCCTTGCAAGATCTGATGCTGCATTTTTTCATTGTTGACCTTGCCTGACGTCATTTATGACGTCACTAGGGTCATACGAGTTTTTCGTCAATAACTCCCGATCAAATTGAGCTAGAGAGTCGACAAGGTCACCAATGGACTCCAGAAGACCTGCCGAATCGAATGATATGCGATATGACCTCCTTTGACCAACTTCGTGATTTGAAGACCTCTGACCTGACCTTGACTCGAGGTCAACACCTTACAGTGGCCTCACCTGAACAAAAGTATACCATTCGACGCGCCTGAGCAAGGCAAACACGACGATGTCAAAATCGTGGTTCTGCGGCCATTTTTTGCAAAGTTATTTACCAAAAACCAAACCCGCTGCTTGGGTCACGTTATGAAATGGGGCCTTGCCGGGCGAGATTTACACTGTTTCATGATATGTATAAATTGGTAGGGCATAATCGTTTGAATAAAAAGTTGGTTTGGAAGCAATTTTCTACGGAGGTACACACCATTTCAATGTCCTACCCAGCTCATATCGTCATAAATTTCGACCTACCCTCAAAAGTATTCATGCGTTATTCGAGCGGCAATAAGGCCAATTGCAAGCTCGCCACAGAGCACAAATCCTAAAAGAGATAGTCCTTATCTAAAACATATGCTCATTGGATATTCAAGAAGGTTGCTCCTAAATTTTGTGGTCCTAGCTTCAAAAACATGGAAGTTATGAATGCCGATAGGTTTCGCGAGGCTACACCGGCCGGATCGCCCACTGTGCACTGGGGGGGGGGGGGCTATTTATAGCCCCCCTCCCGTTTTTCTGCAATAACTTCCAAACCACTTGACGTATCGACGCCAAACTTTCAGTACCTTCGGCCGCATCAATTTGACATCTTGTGTCAAAATTTGAACTTCGTAGCTACCATAGGTCGGCCGGAAATGACGTCAGAGTGACGTCATGTTCGGCCGATTTCGACGCAAAACATTGAACCACGGCAATCGCTCCCAAGGGCTCAGTTTTTAAGCTAGATCCAATTTCTTTGCATGAGAGGGCTCAAAATAGACTGCGCTATCAAACTGCTGTCTCGGATTTTCGAAATTTTGAAAATTTTGAAAACTTTATTGTTGCGGCGTTCTACGTGTCGTTAACCCATGCCTTTTCCCCTGGCAGGGTCCCCCGCATGTGAATGCTGCATGTGACCCGAACTGCTAACGCGTCTGGAGAAAGTTGGACATTGTGTTGCTCGGCGTACCTACCTGGAAAGAGTACGTTCCTATTTTTCTAGTCATGTGCGCTGATTAAGTTTGTGTATAATCTAATCGCCCTTGGTTAATGGAAAACTGATTTAATCCTGGCATTATGCGTACATATTTGTATTTGTTTCAGACATCATGTTGAGTTGACTAAGATTTATTCATATTGCTTGCACTTGGTGTGAACAAGTATGTGTGCATTTATGCAGTCAGAGTGGCGCAATCTCGCTCAGGCAACATTTTACATTGTTTTCTGTCTGGTGTGATTGACAGGTTTTTTACGGTCAGTTGGTCGTTACCAACTTCTCTGCTGCCACACACGCACTGCTGACAATAGATGTAGAAAGAAACGACCCAGTTGTTTATTCCCAATGTGTCAGTAGTGACGAGACATTGCTAGTGGTGGCGGAGGCCACATCAGTAAAAAACTCTTCCTCTTGCCAGTAGCTTAGACCATTAACTAACCCATTAACAAACGTTGACTTCCAGTCTCCAGACCCATGTGCGTTGTCATATCATCCTTCTTGACATCAGTAGTTCGAAACTGTCTCTGTCATCCACTAACTCCCACTGATTGAAAGCAAGGTCACCAAAATGGCAGAAGGTGGCGAACCTGCTGATGGAGTTGACCGTCTCACATCCCGTAGTGGGAGGCACGTCACACTCACCGAAGAAGGGAGGCAGTTCCAGATCGACACGAAGGAAAAGAAGTACCAGAGATGTGTGAAGGAGTTGAAGAGAACCGGTGTCGATATCATCAAGAGTCTGAAGAGCTCTGACGAAGGCGAAGAAGATGAGACGCTCAAGGAAGCGTACATCCAATGGAAGAGAGCCTACATCAGTCTCGTTCAAACAAACAGTGAGCTGCTAGTACTCCTTTCAGAAGGCGAACGACAAGAGCGTACAATGAGGCACCAAGATGTCATGAATGACATGAACACGATGAAGGAAGAGATGGAAGGGAGATTGGAGCCAACCCACAAGACACAAGACGCACAACCATCGATCTCTCTCAAATCTTCAGGAAGTTCCGTTCGGGCGAAGATAAGTCTAATGCACCTTGAAGATGCCCAGAAGCGAGCAGAGCTGGAGGCCAGGACTGCTGCAGCAAAGAAGCGACTGGCGATCGAGCGTCAGCGACAGGAGCTGGAGTGGAAAATGCGAGAGCTGGAATTGGAGACCGAACATGACATACTTACAGCAAAGAAGGAAGCTCTGCTTAAGTTCGAAAGGGAAGAAGGAATGAGCGAGTCGGAGCACCCTATTACGAAGGGCGAGACAAGAAGAGAGACCCCTAGTGAGGAAGAAGCGTCTCATGCTGCAAGAACCAAGGAAGAACCAGAGGTACAAAAGGAGGTCAGCGAATCAACCGCCACTGAAGTGCTAGCGAGTCTGGTGAACGTCCTCAAAGACCAGGGCAAGCAAGGCCGCCTGCCCATGATCGAACCTGGTGTGTTTACCGGAAGTGTTGACAAGTTCCCGATCTGGCTGAGAGCGTTCGAAACGTACGTGGAGCATCGGACCTCAAGTACAGTGGAACGCTTACACTTCCTCAGCAGGTACACCGATGGTGAAGCCCACAGTGCTATCGCCGGGTTCCTACATCTACGGACAGCTGATGCCTATATCAAGGCCAAAGAGAAGCTCGTCTCACGGTACGGCAACGACTTCCTCGTGGCTAGCAGCTACTTGAATCGACTGAGGGAATGGCCCATAGTAAGATCGGGGGACAGCAAAGGACTCCAGCGACTCGCAGACTTATTGGAGCACTGTTTGATGGCCTCCGCTGCCCTCCCAGGCATGCGAGCTCTGGACGACCCGCACACCATTCACCTGGTGCTCAAGAAGCTCCCTGCCTACGTCACTGACAGATGGAAGCGGCTTGTGGACACCCGTGTCTACGGCGCTACCCCGAGCTACCCGACTTTTACAGACTTCGTGGAGCTGGTGGCCACGGAAGCACGCATCGCCTGCGGACCTGTGAGTGTGCAAATGGAAGAGAGTCTGCACACAAGAGACCCGAAGCAGGCGAGAGGAAAGGTGCATACTTTCACGTCAAGCACCGACAACCCCTGTGGAGCGTGCGGCCATAAAACCGAGGAGCGTTCAGTTTCTAAAGAAACCACGACAAGAAGCAGACGTCCTTGCATCATCTGCGGTGAAGATCACACTGTACATGCCTGCAAGAAGTTCATGGCCATGAGCCTCGAAGACCGCAAGGTGCAGGTGTTGAAGAAGAGACTCTGCAGAGGATGTTTGAAACCAGGCCATATGTGGCGCGATTGCCGGAGAAGAGACAAGTGCGATAAGTGCTCCAAGGCGCACCCAACGCTCCTCCATGACGAAGCGCTCGCCAAAACCGCTAACGCTCGCGGTCACAGTGAGACTGAGAACAGCAAGCCCACAAGAGGCGAAATGCAAGCAAAGGCGTCTTCACTGCGATCCACGGTCCAGAACGTCGAAGACTGCAGTACCTCTCACTGTCACACAATGATTGTTCCAGTAAAGCTGTACCGCCAGGATCAGCCCGAGCGTAAGGTCGTCACGTATGCACTGCTCGACCCGCAGTCGGATGCGAGTTTTGTGACTGACGCTCTCTGTGACGCCCTTCATCCAGAAGCCACCGAAGTCGAGCTGGAGCTGAGCACCATGAATGGTCGCAAGATACTGAAGTGCATGTCGACGTCAGGACTCGTCGTCGAAAGCCTGGAGAACGGTGAGAAGGTAGACCTTCCCACTCTGTATTCACGCCAGGAGATCCCAGCAGATCACACACTGATACCCAGACCTGAAACATGCCTCAAGTGGACGCACCTTCACCAAGTGGCAGACAAGATTCCCGTGCCACAATCTGACGCGGACATCGGACTCCTTCTGGGCGTCAACTGTCCGCGCATCATCAAGCCCAGGGAAGTCATCCCAGGAGAAGAAGACGATCCTTGGGCTGTGCGTACTCTTCTGGGCTGGGGTATAGTAGGACTCATCAGCAAGAGCGAACCGAAGGGATGCTTCTACGTCGGCTCGGGTGATGAGCGCAAGAAGTTGTGTCACTTTGCCTACCGGACCAGAGTCAAGGATGTCAGCTTGCGAGAGGTTCAACAGGTCTTCGACAGTGGCTTCTTTGATCAGAGACAAGAAAAGGCGATGTCCCAAGAAGACATACAGTTTGTCAAGGTCATGACAGAGGGCATGCACAAAGAAGAAGGAGGCCACTTCGAAGCTCCCCTTCCGCTGAAAGAAGGCCAGTCAATGCCAAACAACAGAGATCTCGCAGAAGCCAGACTAGCCCAACTGAAAAGAAGACTCCTTCGAGACGACAAGCTGAGAACTGACTACGCGGCCTTCATGAGTGATCTCTTCCTGAAAGGATACGCTGAACCGGTTCCGGACGAGGAGAGAGACCGTGACGGCATGGTCAACTACGTACCACACCACGGTGTGTACCATGAGAAGAAAGGAAAACTGAGGGTCGTGTTCGACTGCAGCGCACTCTGCAAGGATGACTGCCTGAACGCTCGTCTTCTCCAGGGACCAGATGTAAACAACAGCCTCATTGGCATTCTCGTGCGTTTCAGGGAAGCCCCTGTGGCGTTCAGTGGAGATATCGAAGGCATGTTCAACCAAGTGCGCGTCAACCCTGAACACAGAGACCTGCTCCGGTTCCTCTGGTGGAGCGACGGAGATCTCGACGAGCAGCCGCGAGAGTACCGAATGTGCACTCACCTTTTCGGGGCTACGAGCTCTCCAGCAGTTGCACTCTTTGCTCTTAAGAAGACAGCTCAGATGTACGGAGAGGAGTACTCACCCGAAGCTGCGTCCTTTGTGGAGAGGAACTTCTACATCGACGATGGAGTGGCTTCGACCAAAACATCGGAGGACGCGGTCCGACTGATACGGGACGCGGTGAGTCTGTGTTCGAAGGGAGGATTCAACCTCCACAAGTTCATCTCCAACGACAGAGACGTTTTGAAAGCACTGCCGGTGTACAGTTTGTCGAAGAGCTGTCAGCTGGCACTGGACGGAGAGACGCCTCTCCCTCTTGAACGCGTGTTGGGCCTGAAGTGGGAGACCGAGGAAGACTCGCTGTGTATCGACGTCAGTTTTCCCAGCAAGCCAGCGACGAGAAGGGGTATTCTGTCATCAGTGAGCGCGATTTATGATCCCCTTGGATTTATCAGCCCATGCACTCTCGTGGCGAAGAACATTCTCAAACGCCTGTGCGTGGACAAGTACAGCTGGGACGACACAATTCCCGAGGACATGGAGGAAGAGTGGCGTTGTTGGAAGGAAGACGTTGAGCTGCTGTCCATGCTCAAGGTTCCCCGCTGCTTCGTCTCAGAGGAGCTCAGTGAAGTGAAGAAGTACGAAGTGCATCACTTCTCGGACGCGAGCTACGATGGATGCGGCCAGTGCTCGTACCTCAGGACCGTCTTCAAGGACGACAGGATCGCCAGCTCGCTGATAATGGCGAAGTCCAGAGTCACACCCGTGAGAGCGGTCACCATCCCGAGACTTGAGCTGGTTGGTGCCGTTATTTCTGTACAAGTAAGCTGCTTTCTCAGAAGCGAGCTGTCAATCCGGGACTATGAGGAATACTTCTGGTCTGACAGCCGCGCAGTTCTCGGCTACATTCGCAACGACGCGAAGCGATTTCACGTGTTTGTAGCCAACAGGATCCAATACATCCGACAGCACACAGAGCCTCGGCAGTGGCATTACATCGAGTCAAAGAACAACCCAGCGGATTTAGCCTCCCGAGGAGTCGGCGCGAGAGAACTGTTCACCAGCAACCTGTGGTGGCATGGTCCAGAACTGCTTACAGCAGATGTCAACATCCCCGATACAGAGCAGGAGTTCATCGTCCCAAACGACGATTCAGAAGTGAAACGTTCTTCATACCGGACCACGGTCTTGAAGTCCTGTGAAGACGACGAGGGAAGGATCTCCCAGGAGGCGAAACGAGGAGACACTGAAGGTGACGCCAAAGGAAAATGTGAGGGGGATGCAACCAAACCAAATAGCGAGCTCGACGAAGAACAGAGAGTTGTATCCGGTGAAGATGACGACGTGCCCCCGATATCCAGTGGAGACCACTCGCTCGCGAAGCGCCTCGGCTACTTCTCCAGTTGGCACCGAGCAAAGAAGTCGGTAGCCTTGTGTCGGCGTTATATGACCATCTTGGCCAGCAAACCAAGTCAGAATCGAGGCACGACGGACGTCAGATCGTACGTGCCGGTCGAACGAATGACCGTAGACGACCTGATGCGAGCAGAACAAGCGATTTTGAAATCTGTTCAGAAAGAAGCGTTCACAGAAGAGCTGAGCCTGCTGACGTCACAGCAACAAGAAGGAAACTACGAAGAATGTGGACGCGAAGAAAATGCCAAAGAGAAGGCAGCCAAGAACAGAATCACGGGCAGAGACAAGTTTATAAAACGCAAAAGCCCGATCTACAGACTGGATCCGTTCCTCCGAGAGGACGGACTGATTTGTGTCGGAGGGCGCATGAAGAACAGCACGCTGTCAAAGGAGGTTGCCCACCCGGTGATCCTCCCAAGAAAGAGTCACGTGACCGAGCTGATCGTGAAGGCGTGCCACGAAAACACGTGCCACGGTGGGCGTGGTACGACACTCAACGAGCTCCGTGCGGCCGGATATTGGGTCATTGGTGGTCGCCGCGCGGTAAGCAGCTACATTCTAGGCTGCGTCACGTGCAAGAAACTTCGCGGAAGTCCACGGATGCAGAAGATGGCGGATCTGCCACTTGAGAGGACTGAGCCGGTGGAGCCTTTCAGCCATTGCGCGGTCGATTGTTTCGGACCTTTCTATGTCAAGGAGCGGAGGAGCCAAGTGAAGCGCTGGGGTATCCTCTTCAGCTGCCTGGCATCCCGTGCCATCCACCTTGAGACCGTCTGTTCCCTCTCAGCAGATTCCTTCCTGAACGCGTTTCGGCGCCTCGTCTGTCGAAGGGGTCCCGTTCGGAAGCTGTTCTGCGACAACGGGACGAACTTCGTCGGAGGCAAGAACATGTTGGAGGAGGCGCTGAAGGAGGACGACCACATCCGAATCAGAGGAGAGCTGCTCAAGAAAGATTGTGACTGGTTCGAGTTCAAATTCAACGTGCCACAGGCAAGCGCCATGGGAGGAGTTTGGGAGCGCATGATCAGGAGCGTGAGGTCAGTTCTAACTCCCCTCATCGTGGCCCATGGCCACACGATGGACGACGAGCTACTCCGGACGTTGCTGGTGGAGTGCGAGGCGATCGTCAACAGTCGTCCGATCTCGTACTTCAGCGGAGCGTCGGACGATACGCTCCTGCCCCTCAGCCCCAATCAAATACTAACACTGAAAAGTAGAGTAGCAGTACCTTATCCCGGTAGTTTCTCCCAATCCGATCTCTACGTGCGTCAGCGCTGGAGGCGTGTCCAATTTCTGGCGGACCAATTCTGGCGGCGCTGGAGACGGGAGTTCCTGCCGACCCTGCAGGAGCGGCAGAAATGGGTTCATCGGTACCCAAATCTGCAGCCTGGAGACATCGTCGCCGTCATCGACGACGACGAGCCGCGCTCGCGGTGGCCGCTCGGCCGCATCACCAGTGTGTATCCGAGCGGAGACGGCCTGGTCCGCAAGGTGTGCGTGCGGATCGGTTCTACGAACTACGATCGACCAGTGAATCGTGTGATTCTACTGATTGGCGACCGGGATGATTCCCAGTCGGGGAGCAAGAACTCCCAGTAACTGACAAGCGCCGAATGTGTAAGTTCGGCCATGTGTGAGAAAGGCGACGGCACCGATCGAGCGGTGACCTTAGTGGTACTCGTAGCAGCGTACGGCGACCGTAATAGAACTAGTGCGGTCGATGCTCCGACATCTAGCGGTGTGACGGAGACGAGACGAGCGTGTGAAACGCCAGTGTGCCGCAGAGTGCGGACGTCGGACGATATTTGCTGTTACATTAGATCATAAGGCCAAATAAGCTTGGCATCTCGGGAAGTCCCCTATTGATTAATTTTGGTTTCTAGATTGTAAGAGTGAGATAGCACGAAATTTGTGTTACACAAATTTGGGGAGCCATGTTGCGGCGTTCTACGTGTCGTTAACCCATGCCTTTTCCCCTGGCAGGGTCCCCCGCATGTGAATGCTGCATGTGACCCGAACTGCTAACGCGTCTGGAGAAAGTTGGACATTGTGTTGCTCGGCGTACCTACCTGGAAAGAGTACGTTCCTATTTTTCTAGTCATGTGCGCTGATTAAGTTTGTGTATAATCTAATCGCCCTTGGTTAATGGAAAACTGATTTAATCCTGGCATTATGCGTACATATTTGTATTTGTTTCAGACATCATGTTGAGTTGACTAAGATTTATTCATATTGCTTGCACTTGGTGTGAACAAGTATGTGTGCATTTATGCAGTCAGAGTGGCGCAATCTCGCTCAGGCAACATTTTACATTGTTTTCTGTCTGGTGTGATTGACAGGTTTTTTACGGTCAGTTGGTCGTTACCAACTTCTCTGCTGCCACACACGCACTGCTGACAATAGATGTAGAAAGAAACGACCCAGTTGTTTATTCCCAATGTGTCAGTAGTGACGAGACATTGCTAGTGGTGGCGGAGGCCACATCATTTATATAATAAAATTCAAAATTTACATTTTTACATTTTCTTCAAAAAAGTTTTTGATTTTTCGAAAAAAAAAACGGAATATATGTGATAGAACGCGTTATTATGACTAACTCTAGCAAGTTTTAGCTAAATATCTTCAAAAATGGCCAAGTTATACCAATTATTGCAAAAAATTCACAATCATTAATTTTCAAATCAATTTTTCAGCACGTATTTGACATCGTACGCCAATATAAATAGCACCATCGTGTTCCTGAGCTCAAACTGCATCCTATAGACACCTTTTCTGTTGAAAAATTCAAACTTCAAAATTTGACCTTTTTTGACCTGAAAGTGACCTGACCTAAGCTAAATTCGACTCAAAATGACCTGGAATGACACAGACGACATCAAATTCGAAATATTTGGCCTAAATGGACCATAAAACATGTGTCACGTGACCGACGCATGATATAATTTTTTTCGTGACCTGTGATGACCTGACCTTGACCTGAAAATCAAAATACAAGTTTGGTACCCTCAGGGTATCTAGAGCATCTGTTCACGAGTGTGTGAACAAAAAATGAGCCTGATCTGACTTGTAAGACGGCGGCCAGAGCCCAAAACGTGAACAAGCCAAAATGCTAATAATTTTTACTTTGACCTGACCTGTGACGTCATCAGTGACCTCGAGGTCAATGAAATTAGGTTTCGCTCGACAGTTTTTCCGGGGCTATCAGAAGCCGTTTGAATTTTGACGATCAACCCAGTAGTTTCGGAGTTAGGAGGGGGGCTATGAATAGCCCCCCCCCCGCAGTAGGGCGTGTTACACGCAGACCCCAGTGGGGCGCGGGTTAAACCCCGTTCATATGACAGCCCTTTTAGTTACGATAAATTCCCTCATTGGTCTTATTATGGTACCACTTATGGATTTTCTATACTTTGTGTTATTACACCTTTTTGCACTCAAAATAGGCATCTTTTCATTCAATTTCGGCGAATTGCATTCAATTTTAGCGATCTCTCTATTCAAAGCAAATGAGAGATCGCTAAAATTGAATGCAATTCGCCGAAATTGAATGAAAAGATGCCTATTTTGAGTGCAAAAAGGTGTACTAATATGCTCAAATTGCCCCACCTGTCCAAATACCTCGCCCTACGCTACTGAGAACTTGACGCTAATGGAACCAGAAGTTCGTGAGCTATTTGCAAAAAAGCAGGAGGGTCGGCGAAGTTCCCCCCCATCCCCCTCTCTTCTACTGCCCTTTTAAAGGCTCTCATTTCATCATCACGATCAATGTGACAAGTGTAGCAAACTTGTATTTGTATTGTAAACCACAACCCTCAGCAGACAGCTCTGTAGTCTGTACCCTTGGCCGGCAGGCCACCTTCAGGCACCGACCACGCCCTACGTCACACCCCACACCGGTGACGTCATCCCGTCGACGTGTGACGTCACCGCGTCGATCGGTAGCTGGTGACGTCAGGTCGTCGGCTGCCAGGTGTCTGCCGCCCGGCGTGGCCGCCGCGGCGGCGCGCGCGGGGTGGGGTGGAGTCGGTCGGCTGTGCCGGCGGCGGGCGGCGGGGGCGGCGCCGGGGACGAGGCGTCGTGTTCTGGGGCAGAGACCAGCGATGGCGTCCGAGCGGCCTGAGATGAAGGATGGTGAGGACCAGGAGGAGGAGGTGGCGGTGGCGGTGGTGGAGCCGCGGCGCAGAGCCCTCTTCGATCGACACACGGCCAAACAGGTGAGGGCGGGCGCTGACAGGACACGGCGCAGGGGGCCGGGGAGTTTGGGACGAAATACGCTCGACTCAGTGTGACTGCGACATAGGAAATGTTACCAACACCGAAGGGATTCATAAGGGTCCCATCATGACGTGCAGCCATTACATATAAGCTCGCTCGGAATGAGCAAATGAGCGTTCATGATACATAGACTTGCCGTCTGACCGTCTTTCAGACACAAACATCTTCTTAAAGTCTTTCGATAACAATGGCGAAATGTCACAGACGCTTGACATACACAATTCCATTTTATCTTAAATGTCACGCTAACGAGTAAGGAGTAACTGGCGACGCTATACGACGACCCTTCTGCCGGCCAGGTGGGCTGAGGCAAATCTACTCAAATTGTTCGCAGATCGCGGAAAACGGCGTCGGGTCATAATCCACCAGCCTTGACATATAATGGGCATCATTTTGATGCATCCTGAAGCTTTCAAGTCCTACATAGATACCTCAGGTCACGTCAATACATAGATCACAAATCCGGTGCATTGTCAGGGTAGATTTTGAATGATTCAGCAGACTTGAACAACAAAATGAATGAAATTGAACAAATTCATTGATCTCGTTCCTTGGGTTATTATCAGCTTTAGTGAATGTTTTAAAAAATTATTCTATTGTTTTGATATTTTGGCTGGCAGATTTAACTGAATACGAACCAGAAAAGAATCGCCTGTGTTTTTTTTTAACCGAAACATGACAACAATGAAGAGTAATTTTCAAATAGTTCATTTGGCTGAAATTGTTCGAGGGAAGAGGTCAATTAATTTATTCAGTATCAGAGGAGGATGGGATTATTTGGCCGTTTTTTTTTAGAAAACGGTGTATCTCAAGATTGACAACATATTTCTGCACTGTCCTAACGCTGGCAGGGGGCGCATTCATTTTACTCTCCTGTACAGTGTACAGTAAACTGAAAATTACAGAATAACTACTCATTTCTAAATTGTGACGCATTATAAAGATCTGCAAAACGGCCAAAATATCCCACTGGCAGGGCCAATTTGCCGGTGGGGTGGGGCACGTCGGCCGGCGTTAGTTTGAAGTCGGATTTTATGTTTTAGGCGAGTGAGCATCAGTGTCAGCACAGCAATGATGTGTCTTATACACATTATAGAAGTTGACTTGGTGTCGGACTTATGTTCGAACGGCTTGGACTCCGGTCTTGAAAGTGATTTTAACATTGTCGTGAGCAGCTCAAAATGCGACTTCTTTGCACACTCGCTCAATCATGCACTCTCATTAATTTTTAAAAATCATTTTCACAATTTAACTTATAATTAGTGAAGGGGTATTATTTGCAAAAAGTTTCAGTTTTTATAGTTAACCCTCGCCGGCCGAGGGGGGGGGCGGGTGCCGCCCCCCCCCCCATAGGGTTTTTTCGCGATAGCTCCGAACACGCTGGCGATAGAGAGCTGAAACTTGGCATACCTGACCTTTGATCCAAGCCGCATCTTTTGACACCAACCGCATTTTTGGGTCAGGTCAGGTCACTGACCTATGACGTCATAAGTGAACCTCTGCACGGTCTTCAGATGTCGCAACTTCGCAACGCTCTCACTGCCAGAGGAGATGTCACAGGGAAATGAAACTTGCAGGATCTAGTATCCATTATGAGTCCCACAACTTGTATATCTCGGATTTTTCCTAAAGGTCATATGAGGTCAGGTCATTTTCGTGACCTCACCATTATAAGTCAATGGGGAAAAATGAAAACTGCTATTCTGGCGCCGGGAGCGATCTCCAACTATCTCAAGCACACAGAATCGTGATTTTATGCACTCCTTGCAAGGTTAGATGCGTCACTTTTTCAATGTTGACCTTGCGTGACGTCATTTATGACGTCATCAAGGTCATATTAGTTTTTCGTCAATAACTCTTGATCAAATTGAGCTAGCGAGTCGGGAAAGCCACCAATGGACTCAGGAAGACCTGCCGAATCGAATGATATGCGACATGACCTCTTTCGACCAACTTCGTGACCTGGGGGTGCTGACCTGACCTTGACCTGAGGTCAACACCCCAAGTTGACCTGACCCGGACAAAAAGTATATCATTCGACGCGCCTGAGCGAGACGAACACGATGCTGCCAAAATCGGCGCTCTGCGGCCGTTTTTTGCGAAGTTATTCACCAAAAACTGAACCGTACCTTGGGGCACTTGACCTGACCTCAGAGGTCACCGGTTGACCTAGGACCTTAAAATCGGGTACCAATCTCTGCGTCTCGTAACGGCGCACACGCTCGTTTTTTCCGCGACGCGCTAGCTCCACCAGGGGCGAAACGGCGAGGGGGGGGTCGTACCCGCCCCCCCCCCCCCCCTCGGCCGGCGCGTATGTAGAAAACCAATAGGTCCGGCGAGGGTTAAGGAATAGTCGACTAATTTTACTCATTTCTTTTTTGCAATGAATGCAATAGCTTAGCTCTGTCTCAAACCCTCACATCATGTAGCCTTCCCATGTCCGCAAGCAAAGTCATCAATATTTTTTGCGAGCTGCAGATGCGACTCTTCGTTTCATTTGAGCGAATCCCTGGCTGCTTAGTCGTGTTGCATTGCGCAGTCTTACTCTTGACCAGCCCCTTAAAGGCAGACTGTGCCGCAATGCCACCGCCGGTGGCTGTAAACCCACCCAGCTCGGCACTCGCGTTTATCAAGTTGGCCGTCCCAGCATAGCGATCCTGAGCACACCGGTAAGCTGCTCGGCTAGCCCCGGCCAAATTACCCCGCAGTACCATTCTGGAAAAGTTTGTCCATAAAGTCGTTACGACTGTGCGAAAATAGATGAAATTGCTCTTGAAAACGCTCCACACAATAAGGAATGGCGCCACAATGTCGAAATTTGTTCGCAGCCTAAGTACTAGTTACATGCTATACAATTTTATAAACGAAAGTAAAAGTTACCATTTTCTTATGAAGTTCACGTTTTATTGATTTTGAACAAAATCACGAGGGGAGAGTTTTGACATTTGTCCACGGGCTAGCTCCACCAATGACAAATGAGTTGAGGCTAGAGTTATTTCGTTTACTTTTGTTAGATATCGTACAGGTGGGGCGGCGACTTTACACCGCCGCGCCGACCAAATTACCCCATCCTCCCCTATTCATTTTCTCGTAACGATGTTCCTCGCAAAGGCATTCAGCATTATAACTACCATCGGACTTGAACTAATTCGTCATCTCGTATGTATAGATAACGTAAAAACTGCGGAACTTTGTCATCGCATCGCATTAGCATACTCAATGTAAAATGCATCGTTTTTACATATTTCCCGAAAAGTAGATCCCAATTACCTACCTCAGGTCAGGTCACCAGGTCACGAGGTTCCGAATAGGTCCCGAATTAGGTCCCTTCTAATACTTGCCGAAATGCACATTGCATAAGACCTACCAGATAAGGACCAGGCACTCAATGGCTCCAAGATCCCTATTCCCTAATCTCTCAAGGGACTGGTCTGTCTGGAAAATATATATGCATTGGAGCCCAGCAGACATTGGACCCATGATCACTCGGTCGGTTGGCAGTTGAATAAACCTTCTTTGTCCTGCTCCGAACGTGGTGTTTCAAGGCGCTGTTTTACATCAGGAAGTCATCTTTTATGCTCCGGAACGCTTGAATGGACGACGGCCGAAGAAATAACTGGCCGGAACGTTGTGAAACATCTCAACTCAAGACGGGGGCGAAAGTTCGACAACTTACAATCATTTTCGGTTCCTTCAAATACGAGGAAGGTGGATAGTTGCTAACACAGGCACAAACTGCTCTTTTTGGTTTGAATTGCTTCTTTGAAAATCACGGCTGTGGAAGGTGGTATGCCGTCTGTCCCTCATCAGAACTACATGGTGTGTTCGCAAAATTGACCTGACCTTAGGTCACCGATAGCAAAATTCCTAGATATACATTTTGTACATACTGTTACTTTTATCAATCGCTGAAAGTTTCAAGGCGATCGTTCAGTCGGTGTAGCTATGACGAGGAATGCAACTTTTTCTGAGGTGAGGTCACTTGACGTGACCTGCTGACCTGACCTTGAGAGCCCTGGGTCTGAAATTTTTACAACATGTGTAGAAAACATGCATGAACAGGTGTGCCAAAAACGGTGGCGCTTCGCGCCGCTGTTTTTGAGATATCTGCGAAAAACCGCAGGGGGTGGTGTTCAAACAGCCCCCCGGCCCAGCGCGGGATAACAGAGGTTAATGGTTTGTGTAAATGATCGTTGTTGACCTGTTGATTGTGGACTAAATAGAACACATAAGAAATAGTTGACCTTTGTGATTGTCAAATATGCTCTACATAACCATGCACAAATTCTTATCTACCACCTAACAAAACAAGTCTTGGCAGCCTGACGTTTAATTCCATCGATTTTGAATATTTTGATTGTCTACAAATATTTCTCAAATTCTTTTTCTCGCGGAGTGTCACCAGGGCTCTATAGAATGTCGGCCGGTCTCAAATGTCCTCGGCGTAGGGCAGCTCGTGATACAGGCTAGGCGCGCCCAGCACGAACCAATCAGCCTTGAACGGTAAAAATGCAGGAGCAGCAATATGTAGCGTGTTGGGCGGGGCGGGGGCGTGACTTCACTTCTTGGAAAATCCTTGCAGTGCACCACACGCTTTGGCTACTAAGACCTTTAAAAATACCCTTTTTACGGACAATGTATACAGATAGCCACCTCTGATAGCATACAATTGTAAAACTGAAACTTGACCATATGACAATCAAAACCAGGGATGCGGAGCCGGAGCCGGAGCCGGAGCCGGAGCTGGAGCCGCCGGAGCCGGCATATTTTGCCCGGAGCCGGAGCCGGAGCCGGAGCCGTGAAACAATATAGCCCGGAGCTGGAGTCGGAGCCGGAGCCGTCAAAAAAGGGGGCGACTCCGGCTCCTTTTCTTAAGAGGAAACAATTATTTACCTAGTTCGGTTTGACAGTACAAAGCGTAAAACAATGTGGTATTCAAAATAGCCTTGTTATACAAATACAGAAGCAGCGTGTACCAATCCCATCGCCTTTTTTCTTCCACCCGTATTTAATTGATCGCATAGGGAATGTACTGAGTAGAAGCCGGAGCCGGAGCCGCCGGAGCCGGAGCCGGAGCCGGAGCCGCCGGAACCGGATCATTTTACTCGGAGCCGGAGCCGGAGCCGGAGCCGCCATGACATTTCACCCGGAGCCGGAGCCGGAGCCGGAGCTGTTTTTTTTTTCTCCGGAGCCGGAGCCGGAGCCGGAGCCGTCTGAAATTTCCACGGCTCCGCATCCCTGATCAAAACCCTCGAAAAATTGACAATATGTATTTGAGTTTTATTTAGCTCGTCGAACCCATGCTTGATATTTTACGCTATACTTTGGGTGTTACACGTCGGGGAAGGTTTCATTGTTGAGGGAAAGCGATTGGTAACCGTTAATTAAGAGACACCGATTCCATGAGATCGACGTCAAATCAGATAAGATCATATCGCTGTTTACCTGGCACGTCAAGGGAATTGCTCTGAGACGTTTCATATATCATGTAAAGCTTGTTTTGCAGTTTGTTTCACATGGTGCCGGAACTGCCTGCAGTCATCAGACAGATATCATGTTAGTTCTCTAAGACAAGCGAGACTTATTAAGAGGGTCTCCATTGCATTATGTAAGTTGATTTGTAGAAATTCCACATTGCGGGTGGTTTTTGGATGTAAACAAAAAGACACACTTGAAAGCTGCGTCCTGGTGATGAAAACCATCAAGTTGTCACGCGCGTTGTGTAGATCCTCAGCAGTGCAAATAACCCAGATTTCTATTGGCCATCTCGGCAAAATGTACGCCTGCAAGTTGTAGGACTATTGCAGTCATGCAGCGCTGTTTGTAATTACTGTTATATAATAAACCCAGCCCACAGGCCACAACCCCTCAGGGCTTGGCTAGGTTTGAACTATCTTATTTGCGTTAGCACTGACCTTGCTTGACTGAACAAGCTGCCGGTAAATTGGTGTCTTGCACTATCCGTCGACCTCCCAAGAGTTGGAACTCTGTTGAAGCATGATGTTATTCACCTGAATAAATAAAATGATATTTCCCTAGCCTTGCATTTTGGCTTCCATGAAGCGTTAAATAGTTGCATGACAAGAATTTAGCAGAGGTTATCGCCACAAACTATCTTCTCGAATCCTGCAATGACCGGCCATTAGTTCCACCTTCAAAGTGGTTTCGCCGTGAAATGGCGTACGATCACGACTCACGACCAGCCGGTGGCCTCTGAGCCGTGAGTTTCCGGCTGGACCCGTGACCACGCCCGCCGTGGTCACGTCACGTGGTCAGCCAACCGTGCCGGCGTAACGCTCGAATATGCCGTATCACGTGACTTTGCGCTAAGGTAGCCTGCAACGAGAAGGCGAGCCCAAAGGCCAAGCCAGTTATGCAGTGAATGTTGGAACACAAGGGTCTCCAGCTAGTCGTGTAGTGAATAACGCCGAGCTACGGCCGGACGGAACGCAGAAGCCTCGGGCAGTCACGTGGCGTTTGGCAGCGGACTGGCCAGCCAGCCGACTGCCGGTGGTTTTGGCTGCGGTTCAGGGTTACGTCACTGTCTGACGGGCGCTTCGTGAGACAGATATACTTCAGGAGGGATACTACCTGCAGTGTTTTATCAAGACTTGCAATTTTCAATTGTTCCAAACCAACCATCAAGATCACATTATAGATACAGATTTTATGTAACTGTACTTTGATTCATGTGTTTTTTGTTTTAGATGAATTCTCGGCCACGAGCCATGATCACATCAATGCCAAAATATAAGAATATTGGAAGACCTTCTTCCAATATTCTTCCAATTGGAAGAATATCTTAAGCTTACCGACCGTGGGTCTTCCAAAAGGCGAAGTGTTCCAATATTCTTATTTTATGGCATTGATGTGATCATGGCCCGTGGCCGAAAATTCATCTAAACAATAAATACATGAATGAAAAGTATAATTTTGTAAGCAGGTTATTCAAAAACAATTGAACGACTTAACCCTCGCATGTGTAGGGGGGGGTCGGATGGACCCCCCCATGGTTTTTCGCGAATAACTCGCGTAAAAAGCGGCCGATCGCGACGAAACTTTCAGTACCCTCGCATTGATCAATTTTACACCTACCCTGAAAATTTTATGACCCTGACCCAAATGACCTTTGACCTGTGACCTCTTTTCCGAGACCATGTTTGGCCGGAATCGCGATTTCGCGTATGTCGGCTCGCACTAGCCGCGTGTTTGCAAGCTTTTCGTGGTTTCAAACGTTCAAACATGTGATTTGATGTTACTCCCGTGTGTGTCAAGGTCATCTGAAGGTCAGGTCAGGTCATTGACCTTTGGTGACCTCGGGTGACCTCGGGTCACTTTTTCGAGTTTTACATGTTTCTAGGCTAGTTTTTGGAGCTGAATTCGAATTTAGCAACCATTTGAACATTTACGAAGTAGTTTTGGTGCCTTCGTAACATGTTACGAAGCTGTCAGAGGCGGTTGACACGTACTACGAATACCTGTCACGACGCCTACTGGTTGACCTGACCTGACCTGACCCGACCTGGTCTAAATGCTTCAAGACATCATCTGTGATCAAAACTAACACGATATTCGTGATCAGCACCCCGAAAAACCCCTTAGCAGCCACACTTTACGACTTTCTAACAGGTCCCGATTTTCCCGACTTTGGGTCATTGACCTGACCTGGAAGGTCAACCAATGACCTTGGACCTTAAAATTGGGTATCATCGGCTTCCTCTCGTCACGGGCAACACGCTCGTTTTTTCCGCGAAGCTCTAGCTCGATCAGGGGCCAAACGGCAAGGGGGGGTCCAACCGACCCCCCCCCCCTACACATTAGAAGCTGGCAAACGCCGCACACATGCGAGAGTTAAAAACCTTACATTTAGCAAGCACAATTACACAATAAACGAATTAAGAAGCGATAACTGTATAGTCGACTACCTAATGGTGTTCCACTTTTCACAGGCAATTATTGGCCTGGAGTGGTAGGCTGTACCGCATCACACGGGCTAATTTAACAAATTATAGCTTTGTCCCAATGCTCACAATCGACACGCTTAGTTGCGTGATAAACGGCACAACTTAGCGCTCCGGTCAACTGATAGCTTCTGAGGAGTGGAACATCATTCTGTAGTCGACTGTACTATAAGGTGCAGTATGGAGACTGCACCTTTCCATCTTTAAGTACCTACTTGCGTACGGAATACGGCAAAGTTTAACTAAATGCCTGCTAGCCGAGTCAGCAAAGAAATAAATCGTTTATTACATTAGGTTTCCTCCATATTGTTAGAAATAATTGCCTGACAAAAAGAAGAAGATAAAAATAGCCCTTTTGGAAATGAAAGTAACTGTGACGACTGACGGTTGTGATATTGTATGGCCCACTGCAGTGACGTGTTTCCGTTTATTTCCGGCAGGTGGCAGCAGCGCTGGCCTTTTCGCAGACCCACTCGGTGATCGGAGCGGCCGTCGCCTTCATTAGTGTGTTCATCATCCAGGAATCGCAAACAGAGAACGGCCACCTGTCGGTCGGTAAGCTGAATCCGGGCTTTTGAACACCTGAAGTAATCCTGATTGAGTATAAAAAGACAGTTAACAAAATGCGCACTGGATAAGATCGATGCCCGTGTGTTTTGTCGAAAAAGCAGATGATAAAATAATTGCAAAAAATAGCCTACCTGGTTAGGCATTAGGGGAAGTTGGGGCAATGCCGGAGTTGGGGCAAAGCCGAAATTCGAGATATTTCGAAAACCGTAAGACATGGATGCCACCTGTCAGTGATGCTCTGAAGCTTAAGTGACTACAATCATCGCAGTTTGTTACGAGTCGTCATTCGGAATACTTCGGCTGTGAGGGCGCCAAGAGCGTTTTCAAGGTACGCGTTCCTTGTACTACATGCGCCTTTGAAGCTGCATTTCTTACTCATTATGCTACCGTTTGTCTGGCCAATTCGGTCAAGTAATCTTCAGCATGTCTTTGCATAAGTGTGCTGCCTATTTGAAATTTATACGGCACGTTGAAAAGTTATGGGCCTGGAAATGAAAGTATGGCTGGCTGGGGTAATGCCGAAAACGTGCAATTACGCACGTTAAAGCACGCTACGTGGACTTTACTGCTGTAGAATAGCAACGCGAATTTTTAGTCACACAAATTACACTTTCAACCGACACAACGGCCTGTTACCTATAAGGAATTATTTACCTGGCATTTTCTTATTATATCACACAATTTTAACTTCCAGTGTGCACCAAGCGTCCTCAAGCTCTTAAAACGCGTGTCAGCTTTGATAAATTCTGGATAAAGTTTGAGATAAAGTGGCAAAACATCAATGTCGGCATTCCCCGTGGATCATTTCTCCCATTTTCGGCTTTCCCCGCAGTCCGGGGCAACGCCGAAAAAGTCACTTCTTTGATATTTTTAGTTTGTGCGCTTAACGGTATGCGAATTCATCAAATGCGCCTGGTATGTTTGAAAGGCAAAAGACTGGCCTCTCGAATGACGCCAACAAGAATAGCTTATGTTGTCTACATTGCGTGCTACGGGCGTCAGAAAAAAGGTATTCGGCATTCCCCCAACTATACTGGCAAACATGGTAATGCAGTCATAACTTCTTATTTCGCTCTTGATGGCAAGTTTTGTCTACAAACGCTTTCAAAGACACAATTATTTATTGCTCAAAATGCATGCAGAACAGTGAAATACATTGACGTCGGTTTTTTACACGGCTAGCTTTGTTAACCCGCGCCCCAGTGGCGGTCTCAGCCAACTTCGCCCTAGTGAGGGGGGGCATATGTTACCACCCACCTCTAACTCAAAAACTAAGAGGGCTAGGAAGACGCGGTAAAAAGCAGTCGATAGCTCTCAATGCGTACGTTTGAAAGTATTTCGATCATTTTTCACCTTAGAGCAATATTGGGGTCACCAGAGGTCATCAAAGGTCAAAATTTGCCAATTGTCATTATATTTTTCAGAAAACATGCCGCTATCTCAGGAACTATGGTAGCTAGAAAAACGTATGGAAGAGCAAACGATAGCTTTTGAACTCTTCTTTTGAAACGGTCATTATCAATATTGACCTCAGGTCAACGGTTTAGCCTGCAGAGGGCAAAAACTCCAAAAATAGCTGTTTTTTTCGAAAAGTGTTTTTCGGCAATAACATTCGACTACAAAAAGCCACGATATTTCTATTGCCAGAATCGTGTTCCCCTCGCCGAGACGCGTCGAATGAACTATAATTTGACCTTGAAAGGTTAACTTGAAAATTTGACCTCAGGTCAAGGTCATGACCTTACCGGAAAAGGTCATGTTGCATATCAGTCGATGCGTCTCAACAAGACAAACACAATGAGACCATCCTCAGCGTTCTATCTCTTTCCAATCGCGAGTTATTGGCAAAAAACTGTTTGTAGCCTCAAGTGACCTCGGATGACCTGTCTAGAGGCTATCAGCAAAAATGACACCTTGGTCATCACGAGTGGACTAAATCATTGTGATTCTGAAATATTTGGACTGTTCCGATGCGTACACACGGATCTAGAGGCATTTTCATTTTTCTCCATTGACTTGTAATGGAAAGGTCACGCCACTGACCTGACCTTAGGTCACGGATATAAAAAATCCGAGATATACAAATCGTAGGCGCTAATAACAGCATGCAATCCACCAAGTTTAAAACCTTTCTGACAAACACTGCAGGCTGGACATGATTGCAAACTTTTTTTTAGGCTTGGTCAGTTAACTTGACCTGGTGACCTGACCTGACATGACCTGGGGTCAAAAATTTCACACATTGTCCAAAATTGATGTACCAAAAGCCAGGGTATATAGAACAACGGGTACACCAACGACGCGGAAAGCGCCCATTTTACCTGGATGAGTTACATGGTAGGTGATATATTTTTTGAATATGGAAAAAATAGAGTATTCTATTCTGACGAGTAAAACCAAATCCATAAAGCAGTTATTTTCTAAATATATGTACCAGAAATAACATACTGACCATCGTTTAAAACTTAGTCTAAAGTTAGTTGAAAAGCGTATAGTTGATACTAAGATGGAAGGAATCAATGGAAGGCGGAAATGGCGCAGCTGTTTCATTCTTAAAACGTGTTCGCGAGCAGGATTCACGTAATGCTAGCGACATCTATTAATGTAATCGGGGACGCTGATTGGCTGACCGAGTCCGTGAGCAGTATCACTTATGTACGCCAGTACAGGGTTGAGGCAATGTGCGCATGCGCAGGAACTTGTGCTCTCATGGAGGGGCTTTTGGTACCTCGGGCAGCGCCCAATGCTTTTTGGACCTGTTATGGCCTCCGCATCGAAAAACGCTAGATAAAAAGGTTGTAGAGGAGGCTTGAAGCTACCTTTCCCCACAATAATATTGGCACTTTATCTTTTAGCTTAAGTGTGAGGCTCGCTTGAAAAAGGTCGATTTAACATGGAAACCCTATGGGGTAGTAGTTTTTGAGCGCCCATTTGGCCTAATGCTGCCAACTGTTACTGGCTACCCCTGCCAAAAGCTACCCCAAGCGGCGCGGCGCTACGCGCCGCGGTTTTTTATTTACACACAAAAAACGCGACAGGGTGGTAACATATGCCCCCCCCCCACTGGGGCGAAGGTTAAGGTAGTCTTATAACATGTTAACACTGTTTCCGCAGGTTCTTTGCAATCTATTTTTCTCATTTGAATCTAGCGTGCAGACTTCTTCCGACACGTATCACATGTAGGTACGATCACAACATACACCTTGACATTGCCTGAACAGCATGTCCAAACAAAGGACTAGTGATTTCGGCACCTGAAGCGCCCTCAGAAGCCGAGGAAGATCGGGTCGAAGGCGGGTCGCGACCTTTGGGAGAAGTCGGCGACCCTGCGGCACCCCAGCCCTCCAAGCGACGCGTACCCGCTGGCGCAGCGGTGCTGGAAGATGGTCCGATGTCCCAGCGGCTCCTCCGGCGAGGGAGGTGGCGCGTCCTCGGTGGGAAACATGATGGCGTTGCTGCGCCTGGATGGGAGGATGCTCCGTATTGGTCTTGTGACGTCATCAGATCTGGCTGGCACCGGAGCCGAGTAGAGCTGGCTGAAGACGGTCCACAGGATGACGCACATGAAGCAGACGTGGCGCACGCCCATGCTGAAGCCGGTGCGGGAGAGGCCGCTGAATGAGGTGACGGCGGAGCTCGGGTCGGCTCTCTTCGAATGTTGAGGTCTGTTGTTGCTGACAAAGTGCGGCAGCAGTTAACTGCCCACGATGGTAGCGGCTGACTGCTACGGTAGTGGCTGGACCTGCCGTGGTAGCGACTGTCCCGGCTGCTGCAGCGGCGGATCTGCTATACAGCTCGGGGAAGGGACAGAGGGGGCGGTGTGCTTCTTGCACTCGTTCGGCTCTGTCAGATCTGAGGCCAGTCTCGGGTGACAACGCTGTCGGAACAGACGCCAGACAGACACTGGAACCGGTTAGTCTCCGATGGCTCCTCGGTCTCCGCTCAGTATTGTGTTAACACGTCACCGGATCGATTTCATACGAAGTCACTGTTTCGCTGCCGCCAGCACTGTCTAATGTCAACACCGTCACTGGGGCGCAGTTGCCAAAACTGAATACGACGTCACCGGAACGCTTCTGTCAACACTGTCTGCCACGTCACTGGAGTAATGCTACCGACACCGCGTATGACGTCACTGGGGTGCCCCTCTGAGACAGGCTCTGAAGTCAGTGGCCGATCGGGTGTCGTGCAGCGGTCGGTAATTGTTCTGCAGTCTGCTCGCAGCCTTCACGCCGTTTTCACGCTGCGTTTATCAGTGCCGTGACTGAATGCACGCGTCACCTGCCGGTAGCAGTAACGATTACACCACTTCCGAGAGCTATGAGTCGTGAACTTCAGGGAATCTGGCCGTTTTCTCGGTGATGGGGAACGGCGACGATGCTGCGACACGATCAAAGTCAAGGCTTAGTGACACCAGACACAATACGTCCACTAAACTTGGTGATGCGACTCTCAGACTTCACTGCCAGATCAGCGCACACACTCACGAGTCCACTTCTCCGCACAGCTTCCGAACTGTATCTCGCGCTGGAACCTTCCGTTGACTGGGAGCCAACAGGAGCGGGCCCAGCACTGGACCCTGGGGTACGCCGTCTGCAGCCCTGGCACCGGTGGCCGTCCGTGGCCCCGTCGAGGTCAGGGGGGCTCCGGCTGCCAACTGCGCTATGGCCGCGGACCTGGCGACGGCCACAGCGCGGCGCAGCTGCCGGCTCCGACTGTTTATCGGCACCGGACACTTCCGTCAGAGATCGGCGAGAGCACGTCCTGTGCGCTCCAGGGGCACCGAATTTGACGAGTTTTTATCTAACGAAGGAAACGGGACCAGAGAGCAGCGGAGCAGCGCCTGGCGGACAGTCTACATATATTTAGAAGCAGGAGAATAACACTCCGGGAGAGGTATTGGCGCCTATAATGGGCATGCATGTAATGACCATGCTTCAAAGAAATGCTGAACGTCATCCAATTTTGTCCAATCATATTTTTCCAACTCTGAGAAGAATGCTATTCTGAGTCACGAGCTTCATTTCCCTGTTGGCCCTGGCAGAGAGCCCATGCCAACACTCTGGGTCTGTTTCTATAGTCCCAACTACTCCAACGCCGCAGTTGACCATGGGCAGACTGTCACAGGCAAATCCGTGGTCTGTCGATATAACGTCAACATAAATCAATAGCTCAAATATTGCTGTTAAATTAATGCATTAAAGGGTAAAACGTAGCAGATTTCTCGACAAGGCATAACTAACACCTGACCCTCCGTCCCGTGCGCCACAGGCGAGGTCACGTGGGTGGTGTCGGGCCTGCCGATTGGTCTGGTGGCCGGCAACCTGTTGTCGACGGTGCTGACACCTATACTGGGCTACCGGCGGCTGGTTCAACTGGCGGCGCCCGTCAGCATCTGTAGCTGGTTGACGCTGGCGCTCAGCTTCCGGTTCCCGCTGCTGCTCGTCGCCAGGGTCAGTGACCGGGGGAGGGGTGGGTGACCCGGGGGAGGGGGTCAGTGACCTGAGGAGGAACAATGGACTGCCGCTCAATAAACTGCGGGTCAATGGACTTGGGTTAGTGACCTGGGAGGGCAAGGACTGGATCACGGTGACTATAAAGACTGGATGCTCAACATGGATGTCAGTGATTTGAAAGGATTGGATTCACTGACTTTAAGCTTTCAGTGAGCTTAAGTGCAAGGTCAGTGAACATTAGAGACCGGGGTTGGCCAGGAACTTCGCTTGAATAACTTTTTCCCATACCGTCTCATTTTTTTGCCCATGTGACCTGTAATGACCCGTGTGATCCGTCTCCCATTGTGACCCCGTGTGACTCTGTGTGACCTGTTGTGACCCGTGTGACCTGATGTGACCCATATGACCTGTTGTGACCCGTGTGACCTGTTGTGACCCGTCTCCCCACCTGACCTAGTGTAACCCGTATGCCCCGTCCCCAGGTGGTTCTCGGCGTGGCGCTCGGCGTCACTGACGGCCCGGTGCGGGCCTACATCAGCGAAGTGACGTCGGAGCGTCTCCGCGGCCCGCTGGGTATGCTGCCCCACATCTGCATCACCATCAACATGCTGGCCGTCTACGGCGTCAGCTCCCAGGTCAGCTGGGCGGCAAACGGGGGGAGGGGGTGTCAGCCTGGATGGGGAGGGGTGACAGAGGGGACGCAGGGAGGCCGGGTCTGTACGGGAGTATGGGATGGAGAAAATTGCGGTGATGATATAGCAGACGAGTTGAGAAATGTTCATGAAGAGCAGCTTATCATCTGGAGCACATGTCAGTGGCAATAAAAACGGTTGTTTATTTTATGCACTCTGTTCAAAGTGATTGTGTTCTGCTGTGCTCTACCAGGGGGTGTTTCACCCGCCCTTACATTGCCCGGTGTTCTTTTCCAGACCTCTTGGCGTAACGCAGTTCTGTTCTGCGGTATCGCGCCGTCAGTGCCACAGTTTTTAGCCACACTGTTGCTGCCAGACGCTGCCAAATGGCTGCTGGCCCACGGCTACCCGGCAGAGGACGCCAGAAAATCTATTCTATTCTTTCGGTATGTGTCCACGCCGTTTTTTTAGTCCTTTTTATTCGATATTAGATTTTTAGAGCTTTTTAGAGAGGTTTTGTTTCATAAATCCACGTTATAAAAGCACATGCTATTGCAGCAATGTATGTTGTGTAACGCTTATACCAATTTCGTAAATGTTAAAAAAGGAATTCAAAATAAATACATTTCCTGTAGCATTTCCTTGCTTTTTACTTATCAGCAAGCACGCAGCCCCGAGTGAGCACCATGTAGCGGCCTGCTGTCAGTAACAGACCGCCTGTCCGCAGGGGCCACCCCGAGACGGCTGACCTCGAGGTCAAGGCCATCCTCTCCTCGCTGAAGGGCGACGTCAGCTCGCGCAGCCCGGTGCTAGTGCGCATGCGCGCTGTGCTGACTCAGAGTCGTCACCGGCGGCCATTTCTGCTGCTGCTCGTTCAGCTGTTTCTGTTTGTGTTCAACTCGGGGGAGGCTATCGCCAACTTCACAACGGTAAGCATGTGCAAATCGCTGTGTTGTCCTGCTAACACGACTTTTTAGCAAATTACTTAAGAAATAGATTACATTACTTGCGGTATACATCCATCTTGAATTAATAGAAATGCTCTTCTGCGACACCGTCATGTTGTATCAAGGCTATCATATCAAAATTAAACCCCAGCATGCAGTGTCCCAAAATTGAGTTTTGTCTTGGGTGTCAGAGGGGAAAATTACCCACCAAAAAGAGGGGAGAGAGTGGAAAACTGCTGATTCGATTAGATCAAAAAGGAGTGAGAAATGACGAAAAGCATGCATTTTATTCTAGGGTGTAGAATGTTTGATGCTAACTGGGCATCCACACAACTGTCTTTCTATAGGTAAAAAATCTATGTTTTCTTGGTTGGGACTTGGGAGTGGAAAATTGTTCTTAAAAATGGTGGTGAGAGTGGAAAATGAATTTCATTTGGATGTCGTTTCCCACCCAAATAGACAAATTTTGGGACATTGCAGCATGTATAAAATGTAAATAGCATAGCCGATGCAATGGCATGTTTGGTTTTTGCTGAACAATTTCGTCTCCATAGACTTAGGCAGCTGGTTTACTTAGATCTGTTATGGTTTAAAACGGCGGTGCACCAAGAATAGGTGAAGAGTGAAGAGTTGTGCCGCAAATAGGTACCGCCGTGATGTTGTGACCCGCACGGCCCATTCTGCAGGTGATTTTCGCGGCGGCCACCAGCGACAGTAACCCGTACTACAGTACCATCTGGGTGGTACTGGCCCGCCTGCTGGGCTTCTTTCTCTCCGCCTGGCTGATCGAGCGGATCGGCAGGGTGCGCCTTCTGCAGGCGTCAGCGGGGGTGCAGGTGAGGACTGGGTGCATCAGAGGGGGCGCAGGTGAGGACTGGGTGCATCAGAGGGGGTGCAGGTGAGGGCTGGGTGCGCCTGCTGCAGGCGTCCGCGGGGGGTGCAGGTGAGGGCTGGGTGTTTCAGGGGGTGCAGGTGAGGACTGGATGCATCAGAGGGGGTGCTGGTGAGGACTGGGTGCGCCTGTTGCGGTGGTCGGCGGGGGTGCAGGTCAGTACCAACTATCAGCGTCAGAGGGGGTGCAGGCAGCGACTGGGTGTGTCAGCGAGGTGAAAAGATAGGACTTTCATTAGTGAAGAATGGGGAGGGGAAGAAACCTTTGAGCAGCTGACTTTTTAGGCAGCCGTTTTATGACAATGTGAGCCTTGTTTTTGACTGAAGCATCCCTCTAAGTCCATATTTCATTTGGACCTTCATTTACCAGCTTCATCAGACGGATTCATTCTCAGACTGCAAATTGTAATTCAAATTGCAGGTGTTTCAGACTAAATATTCCTCTAATGTATCCATTTTAGGCTAATTTTAGGCTAAGTTTAGGCTTATGAAGGTTAGTGAGCACACGGTTATTGCTCTACGTCATTATTTATCCTCCCCTTGTTGGTCAGATGTTGGGCAGCGTGCTGGTGGGTTTCTTCTTCTACTACCGCTCCTCGCTGGCGGCGCACGGCTGGCTGGTGCTGGTCGGGGCGCTCATCATCTTCTTCACCTACGGCGTGGGCATCGCGCCCGTGACGTGGGTGTACTTCTCCGAGCTGACCGCCAGCGCGGTCCGATCCGTCAGCCTCAACGTCCTGCTCGTCTGCTTCGGACTCATGATGTTCAGGTCAGTGCAGGGACCCACCACCGCAGATTGGCTGTGTCTTTGATGGTGCAATTGATTTAAACGGGTCCGTCCCTGTCTCTTTTATCCCTTCTGTCTGTTGTGTACGCCTGGGCAGACTATTGATAAAAACCATTCGCTGATAAAAGCCGTTTTTGATTACTATTTGGAAAAATTGAGTCAATCTTATACTCGAAATAACATCTTGTATATGCCTATTCTAAAAAAAGGAGCAATCGCATGTTGTTCCACACGGCTCCTTACTTCAACAGTTGAGCTGCACGTGACCACCTCCTGCTCCCACTGATGATATTCACAATGAGTCCAATGACTTACTCGTACACAACCCACTGTAAACACTGTCATCAGTGCACCTAGTGACTGCTGCTTGTACCACCACAGACAGGTCACCGGCAAAATGCAAGTCAGATCATCATATGAACATGACCAGTATATCCAGACGTAATACAGATCTGCTAACTGTTTTACGTCAGCTTGATGTACTCATTGACCTTTTCAATAGCATTGCAAATGTTTTGGCGTTGGTAATTGCTTAGTAACTGCCCTGGCGAAATTAAAAGGCATCAATGTTTGTCAGCCAGATACATTAGCATCATTTTAGGTGTTTTACATCATTTATGAGTCGTTTCTTTGTATTATTGTCAATTGCATTTTGATTAAATTGCAATATGCCACCATCCGACGTTTCCAGACATTTAAGTAAAATTAACGCCTACAATGCCAGTGTATGTAGTTATGTATGTACGTCTGACTGAAGTCGTCGCTGTCTATTTCTCTGACGTTCTGTGTCATTTCCCGCAGTTTCGTTCACTCGCACGTGTGTTGGCTCTGACGTTCTGTGTCCTTTCCCCCAGTTTTGTTCACTCGTACGTGTGTTGGCTCTGACGTTCTGTGTCCTTTCCCCCAGTTTTGTTCACTCGTACGTGTGCTGGCTCTGACGTTCTGTGTCTATTCCCTCGTTTCGTGCACTCGCGCGTGTGTTGGCTATGACGTTCTGTGTCTTTTTCCCGCAGTTTTGTTCACTCGTACGTGTGGTTGGAGTCCGTGTTGGGAATACACGGCGTGTTCTGGGCGCTGTCAGTGCTGAGCGTTGTACAGATCGTGTTCGCTCAGATCTGGCTGCCCGAGACTCGCGGACTCACCTTGGAACAGATCCAGAGCAGGTAAAAACCCAATACTAAACATGGGCAGGTAAAACTACCAATAGATCACCAGCTCTGAGAACTGGGGAGTGGGGACTCACCCTGGAACAGATCCAGAGCAGGTAAAACCTCAATTCTAAACCTGGACAGATAAAATTACCAATAGATCACCAGCACTGAGACCTGGGGACTCACCTTGGAACAGATCCAGAGCAGGTAAAACCCCAATACTAAACCTGGATAGGTAAACTTACCAATAGATCACCAGCTCTGAGAACTGGGGAATGGGGACTCGCCCTGGAACAGATACAGAGCAGGTAAAACCCCAATTTTAAACCTGGTCTGGTAAAACTACCAATAATCACCAGCTCTGAGAACTGGGGACTCACCCAAGAACAGATCCAGAGCTGATATTGCCGAAAATTACTCCCTTAGATCTGGAGACTCACGCTAGAGCTGCATAACGTCTCACTCTGTTTGAATTTTGTTTGTCATCTCTTGTTAGTAAATGACGGGCTGATTGCCAATAGTTTTTTTGTGAATTCAATGGCTCATTTTGTGTGTCTTTTTTGCGTCCAGGTATTTTGAAGGAGCCCAGGACGAGAGTGACAACGAGTCAGAGAAGGCACATGAGATGCATCGCGAGCCAGCTCAACAGAATGCAGTGTGAAGCATGAGGTCTGTGTAGAGGCGTCTTTTGCGTGTCATCGACCTTGGGAGGCTGCCCTTGTTCTCTGTTAGCGTTTCTCCATATACACCACATCCGCTTACTTTTAGTTTGTTTTACCCTATAAAACACGTCAGTATTACCCAAACCCAAAGTGATGACACGAACGAGAATGTCCACGACTAATGTGGATCACTTAGGGACCGTCACAGAACATTTTTTTTTTCGCTGGCGCAACAAGGAAATAAAGGGATCCCTGCTTATAGGTGGAGATGTTTGTAATTTTAGTTGCCATACCGTAGCGGCAGTTTTCAGATGCAGGACGCACAGATGTCCGTCAATCAACATGACGCACAGAGGACCCGTAGAATCGAAGCGTTGAACTCTGGAGTCCTGCGATATCAGGCGCGAGTATGAGCTGTGTAAGCTGTGATGACCCCGCACGGTAAAACGTCTGGCTGTTCGCGGGCCTTCGGTGGCTGCCTGGTGAGGGGGGGGGGCAGCGTCCGCTGGGTGCGGTATATTTGTCTGTTTAGGTCACCAGTGGACGGGTGAAGTGTTGATGTTTTGTTACCGCGCAAATACCTGCTGTGACCGCAAACATGACATTGTGCAACGAATAAAGGTTAAGTGAACAACGTAGCTGTTATTGGGTCTAGAAACGATTGTAAACATACACATGGCTACTTTTAGACCTTCATGTGAAGCTAGGACATTATTCATGTCAAGAAAAATGTCCAACTCTGTAACACTTCAGAATGTATGCACCCTGCCCGCAATCTCCGATTCACGCCGCATGGCCACTTTTCGTGGGTTGCCGGCTGAACCAGCTTTGCGTAGTGGTCATTGGGCTTGCAGCCGCTAGATATTCCGGCTTTCTTTCCGATGAAGCGTAGCTGCGTGCTGCATCGGGAAATGAAGCGAACAGACCAGATTGTTTTGTTCTTTTATTCCAGCGGGGAGGAAGGTGTCCGTATAATATTTACAGCACACGTGGATGGAAATTGGACGAGCAAACAAGCCCATGGACGTTGAACACAACGAATATCGAACGATAGATTTGACAAAGCTATTTAGCGGCTTTCTTTCTCGTAATCATTGTGTTTATATAGCTAGGGGAAGGGTTCATATTCTAGTGTCCATATCCGGATCCCCGGCCGGATCCACCGGATCCGCCTCCATAGCCGGATCCGCCGTGTCCGCCCCCATAGCCGGATCCGCCGGATCCACCGTGTCCGACATCAGCGCTGTACTTGTAGGAATATCCACCGCCGGATCCGCCGCCGTATCCACCATGTCCACCACCGTATCCGCCGTATCCACCGTGTCCACCGCCGTATCCGGATCCACCAGAGCCGTGTCCTTCGGCGTAGATCTGTGCGTTTCCGCCGGCAAATTTGCTGTATCCCCCGCCGTAACCCTTTCCACCGCCGCCTCTGGAGAAAAAGATTAACATTTGTAAATTATTAGAAGGATGAATAACCTGTTGCTCATTTCTATCAGAAATAGAAATATCCTTCTAATAATCTTATTAACAATGCTCAGCTCAACGTTCAAATACCTGAAATCATTTGTAAATTATTTCTGTCCTCATTTCTGTAACACAGTGATCAAGGTATTTTCGTACCGAAAGCTTTGTGTGTCTAAATATACATTTGACTAATTATTGTTATCATTTATCCTAAATTAACATTTGTGTAGCGCTTATGCTATGCAGTCAAATTATATAGCCCGGGCATACAGTCAAACTATATTTCATGATTCTGACCCTGACTCTTATCTATACGTCCTTTGTGTATATGAATCATCATTTTTCCCGTTTTTTTTTGTAATTTGCTTGCTTCAACACAACACCACTAGCAACATTTTTATACTCTACCAGCAAAGTCATAGAACATAAACCAAAATCATAACGACCAATACGAAGAGAAAATATAGGATTAATGGCAACCAGCTATGTGGTACATGTGTGTGTCATTTTTGAACTACTTGTTACTTACACGTTCACAGCGTGTCGATTTTTCACACCGTATTTAGCACCTCCCCATGCGTTGTAGCTGAAAATAAGATCAAAGAAACATGCTATTCGTGCGCCATGGATAATTTGCATTTAAAGTTACCAACGCGGTGACGAAAAGTTAGCAAGACTACATTTTGAAAGCAACATGCAAAGGAGCATTTTAATTACAAACACAACACAAAATTAAGTCTCCTATACATTCAGGATGGGAGTAGATTTGATTTTTTCTCTGTTTTTTTCACATTGATTCACCAGAGCTGACCATGAGCCATACCTAAGGATAAGAAGGTCAAACTTTGTCATCTTATCAGAATCATTTGAAAATATTCACTCACATTTCGACGTTGGCGTGGCTCTGAGCGCCCCCATAGCCTCCGGCAGCGGCCAGGGTCACACACACCGCGAGGACGATAAACTGAAAACAATTACAGGGTAAGATAGGTCACTGAAGAACTGACAAATAGTGCAGTGTCCCTCCGACATGAGCCTTATTTTGGTAAGCTTTCTGTGTGTCTTCAGTGGCACGATGCACAATGCGAATCTCTTTCAATTCGTAAAGCCAGTGTTGTAGTATCTTACCTTGAACATGTTTGTTCAGCTGGTGCCTGGTGGGTGAAGTCTGTGTCTCTGCTAGCCATTAGCTAGCGTTATATACAGCTGGTGACCCCCCCCCCCCCACCCCCCAGGACGGGGTCAGGTCGTGACCTCCCCGTCACTGGGAGATATTGGCTCAACACGTGTGTCGTGATTTGAACGGAAAACCCCGAGGGTCCTGACACGGTCAACCAATAATGACAAAGCGAACCGTGAGGGGTTGTTTATTAATGTGCTCACCTACATAGATGAAGGTAAAAATAGCCGCTTTCACCACGGGTTATCAGGTGAATGCGCCAACCTGGACCAAATATGCACTAAGTCTCTTTTACAACAAATATCTTCATATATGAAGATATTTGATATATCATGTGTGGTTTTTTAATAGAAAATAATGACTGGTAATTGGACAAAGTCACAAATCAGGTATATAAGCGACTGTGAAACCCAATCTGACAATTTTACTGATATAATTGATAACTAAGAAACACAATGAACAATGAACTTAATTTGACCAAATCAGCACCAACTCTGCACAAAGTGTGAACCATGTGCCAGATAGCCGTCGTGAAAACGACTAATATTCCAGCTTCTACTGAACTTTATAGATGACGTTGTAAAAGTCGCAAAAGTCCAACCCTCGCCCACCGAGGGGGCGGGGTCATTCTCAAATGTCACCAAATTGCTTTTTTGGTCATTATATTGCTTGGAACGTGCTGCTTGAGAACTGGATATCAGGCCACGTAATCTTTATTCAGGCTAAAGGCTGTGTCCCCAACCGGACTTTTAGGTCAGATCAGGCCACTGACCTAAAATGTTATAATGGAGCCTGTGCACGTTCTTGAAAGTGTCGCTATTTTGTATTCTCAGGTCGTAACTGAGGTCAGGTCGGTCAGGTGACCTCACCAATCACCATTTCAAGTCCAAGGGAAAATATGGGAATTGCTATTTGTCCACCGAAAGTACCTAATCGAAGACTACCTCCATCACATGGAATAGCGATTTGATACACTCCTTGCAAGGTCCGACACTGAACTTTTTTGTTGTAACGCCACTTGGTCATCTGAGGTTTTCGTTTAGCTTTCGATCATCGAGATATCGAGTCGTAAAAGGCACCATTGAACTCATGAAAAGTTGCTAGGTCAAATGCTATGACCTCACATGACCTCGTTCGATCGCCTTTGTGCCCTGAGAGGCTGTATTCTGACAATGATATAAATCAAACACTTTAAGTTGACCTTGCCCTAACAAAAGTAAATCATTCGCGCCGGATCATGTCAGGCAAATTGTGCCAAAATCGCCGTTCCGCCTTGCACTTTTTATAGAAGCAGCTCACCAAACACCGAAGCAACCCCATGGGACACTTGACATGACCTCAGCGGTCCCTGGTCGACCTCGAGTACCAGTCACTGCATCTCGCAAAGGCGGATGGATGCCTTCCTTTTTTCCTGTGAAGGTCTAGCTCAATTACGGGCAGAATGGCCACCAGAGGGATTTTATCTCCCCCGTCGGCCTTGAGGGCAAACCGATATTTATATACGTGGACACCGGCGAAGGTTGGAATCGAGTTTTGTTTCCAATCGCTGCAGTGGTTTTCTTTTTTTTTTGACAAATGAAGCTTACTGCTATCAGTGTTTCTTGCAGTTATTGTGGATATATGACCAAGCTAATGTTAACCCGCGCCCCATTGGGGGGGCTATTCATAGCCCCCTCCCGTTTTTCTGCAATAACTTCCAAACCACTCGACATATATCAACGCCAAACTTTCAGTACCTTCGGCTGCATCAATTTGACACCTTGTGTCAAAATTTGAACTTTGTAGCTACCATAGGTCGGCCGGAAATGACGTCAAAGTGACGTCATGTTCGGCCGATTTCGACGCAAAACAATGAACCACGGCAATCGCTCCAAAGAGCTCAGTTTTTTAAGCTAGATCCAATTTTTTGCATAAAAGGACTCAAAATTGACTGTGCTATTAAACTACTATCTCGGATTTTTAAAATTTTGAAAATTTCGGAAATTTGATATAATAATATTCAAAATTTATATTTTTATATTTTTTCAAAAAGCTTTTGACTTTTCGACAAAACCGGAATATATGTGACAGAACGCATGCTTATGACTAACTCTAGCAAGTTTTAGCTAAATATCTTCAAGAATGACCAAGTTATACGCATTATTGCCAAAAATTCACAATTATTAATTTTTCAAATCAATTTTCAGTACGTATTTGACATCGTACAGCAATATAAATAGCATCATCGTGTTCCTGAGCTCAAACTGCATCCAATAGACACCTTTTTTGTTGAAAAATTTCAACTTCAAAATATGACCTTTTTTGACCTGAAAGTGACCTGACCTAAGCTAAATTCGACTCAAAGTGACCTCGAATGACACAGACGACATCAAATTCAAAATATATGGCCTAAATTGACCACAAAACATGTGTCACGTGACCGCCGCATAATATAATATTTCCGTGACCTGTGATGACCTGACCCTGACCTGAAAATCAAAGTACAAGTTTGGTACCCTCAAAGTATCTAGAGCATCTGTTCACGAGTGTGTAAACCAAAAATGAGCCTGATCTGACTTGTAAGACGGCGGCCAGAGCCCAAAACGTAAACAAGCCGAAATGCTAATAGTTTTTACTTTAACCTGACCTGTGACGTCATCGGTGACATCGAGGTCAATGAAATTAGGTTTCGTTCGACAGTTTTTCCGGGGCCATCAGATGCCGTTTGAATTTTGACGATTGGCCCAGTAGTTTCGGAGTTAGGAGGGGGCTATGGAGAGCCCCCCCCCCCCGTAGGGCGTGTTATACGCAGACCCCAGTGGGGCGCGGGTTAACCCGCGCCCTGCTGGGGGGGGGGGGTGTTTGAACACCCCCCTTGTGTTTTTCGCGAATATCTCAAAAACGGCGGCGCGGAGGTTTCTGGTACACCTTATCATACATCAATTCTACACATGTTGTGAAAATTTCAGACCAAGGTCATTCAAGGTCAGGTCACCAGGTCACTTGAAGTGACCTCACCTCATAAAAAGTTTCAATGTCTGTCATAGCTACACCGAGTGACCGATCGCTTTGAAACTTTCAGCGATTGCTAAGAGTAATAGTATGTACAAAATGTATATCTCAGAATTTTGATATCGATGACCTAAGGTCAGGTCAATTTTGCGACCTCCCCATTATAAGTCAATGGGAGAAAATTGAAATGCGCCTCCTTTGGACGAAAGACATTATAAACACTCCCAAACACCGAATTACAAGTGGTTTAGACACACTGAACATGAAAATGGTGTCCGTGACCCCTGTTTATGCCCTGAGGTCATCTTAGGTCACGAATGGTATCTAACAGTTTTTTGCAAATAACTTTTGATAGATGCATGCTAGAGCGATGAAAACGCCTTAGATGTGTTCAGCTCGACGATACGGATCGACTGATATGCAACATGACCCTTTCCGGTCAGGTCATGACCTTGACCTGAGGTCAAATTTTCAAGTTGACCTTTCAAGGTCAACTTATAGTTCATTCGATGCGTCTTGACGAGAGGAACACGATGCCGGTAAAAGTAAGCTCGTGCAAGGCATGGGTCAAAAGTTATTGCAGAAAAACTGTTTCCGAAAAAATCGGCTATTTTTGCAGTTTTTGCCCACTGCAGGCAAATCCGTTGACGTTAGGTCAAATCTGAGAGAATTACTCAGAAAGGGCGTTAATAGGGCTATCGAATGCGCTTTTCTGCGGCGCTGTAGCTCTATTGGTTCCCGAGTTATGCGTTGGCTTCTTGGAAATTGTCGACATTCGACCTGGAAATCGGCGAAATTTTGCCTTCAATGACCTCTGGTGACCTGACCTTTGACCTGAACAAAAAATTGTCTGAAATGATTTCCTCATTATTTTTGACGCTCTTTCGAACGCCGCCTTCCGCGTATCGCTACGTGGCCCAGGAGCCGAGTTAGAAGGGGGGGGTGTTTAAACACCCCCCCCCCCCAGCAGGGCGTGGAAATCCAAGACCCCCAGCCGGGCGCGGGTTAAACAGATCGTAGAGACCTTCCAAAGCCGTTTCATCCCAATTGAAATCTGAGCTTCACGGGAAAATCGAACATGCCGCGCTCTTACTAAACTGAATCTGCCTTCCCAACTCCTTAACCGTATTTTTCAAGCTCTATAAATATAGAACGCTTTCGATGTATTTTATTCATCTTCGTTTGACACATCAAAAAATCGTTACATCGCCAATATCCCGGGGAAGGCAGCCAAATTTCGGCGTTCCACTCGTAGTGTATTATCAATTACGTCTCACAAACATATATAGACGCTCAGCTCAAACCACGACAGCACAACGGACAACCATTACCGCATCATGCAAACACGAGCTCATACAGCGACGGGAATCACCTTAGTGGCCGTATCCGGATCCGTGACCGGATCCACCGTGTCCGCCTCCATAGCCGGATCCGCCGTGTCCACCCCCATGGCCAGATCCGCCGGATCCATCGTGACCGACATCGGCGCTGTACTTGTAGGAATATCCACCGCCGGATCCGCCGTGTCCGCCGCCGTATCCACCATGTCCACCGCCGTATCCGGATCCAACAGAGCCGTATCCGGATCCACCAGAGCCGTATCCGGATCCACCAGAGCCGTATCCGGATCCACCAGAGCCGTGTCCTTCGGCGTAGATCTGTGCGTTTCCGCCGGCAAATTTACTGTATCCCCCGCCGTAACCCTTTCCACCGCCGTGCCCGCCTCTGGAGAAAAAAGGATTGGCATTGATGTCAATGTGTCACCTTTAACATATACTTTTCAAGGCCTGCTATATAGTTTTTATTTTTCTTATATTGATGTATGCATCCATTAAACATAAGTTTTACAAATGAAGCGTTTGAAGACAGTGGTGGGTAATCGAAAATAGAAGCACTTACTCAAAAAGATTACAAACCGCCTTAAGAAAAATGCAAGAAAATTGACAACAATCTTTGCCGTATATTTTTTAATGGTTAAACTGAAATGTTGGACCTGCTTGTTACTTACACGTTCACTGCGTGCTGATTTTTCACACCGTATTTAGCACCTCCCCACGCGTTGTAGCTGAAAAAAATAACAAAAAACATTATTTCGCACGTAATGTATCGGTGTTCAGCGTGCATATGACTTATAAGGGTACTTTATGGTTTCTGAAGATTAATTATAAGCTTTATTTATTAAAACTACGTGGAGTTGAATACTTTTCGAAATAAGAAGTTTGAGATCGGTTTTGCAACGCATTTAGGTAAAACGAATACAGTTGCCGACGCCTTATTGAAGAATATAAAGCCATCATCTAATCTAGCCAGAATAATTGACAAACCCTCACTTACATTTCGACGTTGGCGTGGCTCTGAGCGCCCCCATAGCCTCCGGCAGCGGCCAGGGTCACACACACCGCAAGGACGACAAACTGAAAACATTTACTGGGAGTTAGCACGCCATTGAAGCATTGAAATATAACACAGTATCCGTCAAATAAAATAAACTGTAGCTTCGTAGATTTTCCCGTATTTCTTAGGTATCTTGTAATTGTATCGTGAACTGCGGTTGCAGATAGCGCCTACCTCGTCAAGACATGCCACTGTTGCAGTACCTTACCTTGAGCATGTTTGTTCGGCTGGTGGGTGAGGTCTGCGTCTCTGCTAGCCATAAGCTAGCGTTATATACAGCTGGTGCCCCCCCCCCCCCTCAGGGTCGGTCAGGTCGTGACCTCCCCGTCACCGGGAGATATTGGCTCAACATGTGTGTCGTGATTTGAACGGAAAACCCCGAGGGTCCGGACACAGTCAACCAATACTGACAAAGCGAACCGTGAGGGGTTGTTCATTAATGTGCTCACCTACATAGATCAAGGTAAAAAATAGCCGCTTTCACGACGGGTTATCAGGTGAATGCGCCAACCTGGACCAAATATGCACTAAGTCTCTTTTACAACAAATATCTTCATATCATGAATGGTTTTTAATAGAAAATAATGACTGGTAATTGGACAAATCAGGTATATAAGCGACTATGGAACCCAATCTGACAATTTTACTGACGAAATTGATAACTAAGAAACACAATGAACTTAATTTGACCAAATTAACACCAACTCTGCACGAAATGTGAACCATGTGCCAGATAGCCGTCGTGAAAACGACTAATATTCCAGCTTCTATTGAACTTTATAGATGACGTTGTAAAAGTCGCAAAAGTCCAACCCTCGCCGACCGAGGGGGCGGGGTCATTCTCAAATGTCACCAAATTGCTTTTTTCGTCATTATATTGCTTGGAACGTGCTGCTTGAGAACTGAATATCAGGCCATGTATTCTTTATTCAGGCTAAAGGCTGTGTCCCCAACCGGACTTTTAGTTCAGATCAGGCCACTGGCCTAAAACGTCATAATTGAACCAGTCTGCACGGTCGTGAAAGTGTCGCTACTTTATATTCTCAGGTCGTAACTGAGGTCAGGTCGGTCAGGTGACCTCACCAATCACCATTTCAAGTCCAAGGGAAAATATGGGAACTGCTATTTGTCCGCCGAAAGTAATCGAAGATTACCTCCATCACATGGAATAGTGATTTGATTCACTTCTTGCAAGGTCCGACACTGAACTTTTTTGTTGTAACGCCACTTAGGTCATCTGAGGTTTTCGTTTAGCTTTCGATCGTCGAGATATCGAGTCGTAAAAGGCACCATTGAACTCAAGAAAAGTTGCTAAGTCAAATGCTATGACCTCACATGACCTCGTTCGATCGTCTTTGTGCCTTGAGAGGCTGTAGTCTGACAATGATATAAGTCAAACTCTTTAAGTTGACCTTGCCCTAACAAAATTATATCATTCGCGCCGGATCATATCAGGCAAATTGTGCCAAAATCGCCGTTCCGCCATGCACTTTTTATCGAAGCAGTTCACCGAACATCGAAGCAGCCCCATGGGACACTTGACATGACCTCAGAGGTCCCCGGTTGACCTCGAGTACCAGTCACTGCATCTCGCAAAGGCCTTCCTTTTTCCTGTGAAGGTCTAGCTCAATTACGTGCAAAATGGCCAGAGGGATTTTATCTCCCCTGTCGGCCTTGAGGACAAACCGTTATTTGGAAAGGTGGACACCGGCGAAGGCTGAAATCGAGTTTTGTTTCCAATCGCTGCAATGGTTTTCATTTTTGACAAGGTTTTCATTTTTTGACAAATGAAGCTTACTGCTATCAGTGTTTTTTTTTTCAGTGAATGTGGATATGACCAAGCTAATGTTTAACAGGTCGTAGCCGTTTCATCCCAATTGAAATCTGAGCTTTACGGAAAAAAATCGAGCATGCCGCGCTTTTGCTAAACTGAATCAAATAACCCCCTTCCTTCCGGCAAGGGTTAAATGGTTCGTTAAAGTTTGTGTTCTCGTTTAGCCCATGTTGTGCGGGGGCGTTTTTACCTCCTCCCCACACTTAGGTTTTTTTTTAACCAGTAATTTATAAACTTTCATAAACAGACAGCTAAATTTTCAGATTCTGTTGAGGCATCATTTCCTCAGTTTGTACGAGTTCAAGCTCAGTTCATGTCAGTTCAAGTCACTAGGTCACCTGGAGTCACCCAGACCCACAAAAAATGGCAATCTCAACCGCAGCCAGCATAAGCGTAGGAACCATGGGTGCAAGGGTGCAGCTGCACCCACAATATTTCTCCAGTGGGTGCAGACAATGTATTCTGCACCCACAATAATCTGAAACAAAAACCCCATTTCTCATCAACACTACTTCCCATGCAGCACGGTAAATTCAGGATATGTTGCCTACTATCCATCTTTCGAAGCATTTGCTACTGTGATGGTCTTCAAAACTTACATTTGTGCTGAAAAAAGGGAACTGGGGCATGTGATTGAACACATATCGAAGCGATGACCCACTGTCAAAATTTTTAGGCCGGTATCCTCGAAAATGGCTCAGTTGGCCGCTTTTACTTTTTGCGGTAGTCAATATTGACAATATTAACCCGCGCACCGACGGGGGGGCGGATATCCGCCCCCCCTGAGGTTTTTCGCGAATAGCGGGAAAACCGCGGCGCGCGAAATTTGGTAGGACTATTCCCTCATCAATTTTACACATGGTGTGCAAGTTTGAACCTCCTACCCTTCAAGGTCAGGTCACCAGGTCACTTTGAATGACCCAACCTCAAGTCACTTTTTTGCAAATTTGTCACCGTACCAGAGCTACAGTAGATGTCGGAGGCCTTTGAAAGTCGCAGAATGTTATTAGGTCATTAGTAGCTACAATTTGTATATCTCTGAATTTTGATATCGGTGACCTAAGGTCAGGTCAATTTTGCGACCTCCCCATTATAAGTCAATGGGGGAAAAATCAACTCCCTGTTTTTACCACTAAAACGGGTCGGAATGGCCCCATATACCATACATGACTTCATATACGATCAACCTTCACTACCTTGAGGTCTGTTTTGCTGTTGGGCAGCTGTGAGGTCATGTGACGTCATCAAGGGTCACCAAAGGTTTTTGGCCAATAACTCCGTACAGGAACAAGATACAGCCGCGTGGATGGTATTGTGTTCAGCTCGTCAAGACGCATCGAATGATATACATGATGACCTCGAGGTCACGTGACCTGAAGTCAACCTTTGACCTTGACCTTTCGAGGTCAACATATATATCATTCGATGCGGATTGACGAGAGGATCACGATGATGCCCTTAGTTTGTTCCTATCTTGACTAATTCGAAAGTTATTCGAGAAAAACTCTCTCAATATCTAGCGCCGCCATTTTGACTTTTTCGACCCCTGTGACGTCATCTTTGACCTGACCTGAAAATGACCTTTGTAAAAATTGTAGATCTTGACCGTGCGTATCCGATGCCGTTTACCGCTTGTCGCTATCTTGCTTCGTTCTCGAGATCTCAGGGGGGGGGCGGTCATCCGCCCCCCCCCCCCGTCGGTGCGAAGTTGGCGCGGACCCCCGTCGGTGCGCGGGTTAAAGGGACACTCCCACCTTAACATTAGTTTTGAGTTGAGATAGCCGAATTGGTGGCCATGGCCTGCAAATACCGGTTTGGCCACTCACAACATCGAAAAATGCTTTAATTCGAAGATATGGAATTTCAAACTTGCAGTTTTTGGATTCTAAGGGGCTAATGCATTGGAATGCCCCCTTAGAATTTGTGACGTCAGCGGAGATCTAACGATTTTTAAATCTTAGACTAAAACCATCGTTAAAGGGACCCTCCCACCTTCAAAAAAGTTAATGAATTGGCATGAATGTGATGTCCCTTGGTTCAGAAAGAGCGAAAACGAATATCTACCAAATTTCACCGAAAAACATTCACTGGTTTTCAAGATATTAGGCTTTTACTTTTGTTTACTTTTTGGGATCTCCCCTGTTACTAGCGACTTTATTTGGAAGCAATAATTTGGCAGCCTTAAAGTGCGGCAGACGTTGCGCGCAAAGCAGCGTATACCACCACGTGTTAACGATGGTTTTAGTCTAAGATTTAAAAATCGTTAGATCTCCGCTGACGTCACAAATTCTAAGGGGGCATTCCAATGCATTAGCCCCTTAGAATCCGAAAACTGCAAGTTTGAAATTCCATATCTTCGAATTAAAGCATTTTTCGATGTTGTGAGTGCCCAAACCGGTATTTGCAGGCCATGGCCACCAATTTGGCTATCTCAACTCAAAACTAATGTTAAGGTGGGAGTGTCCCTTTAACACGTGGTGGTATACGCTGCTTTGCGCGCAACGTCTGCCGCACTTTAAGGCTGCCAAATTATTGCTTCCAAATAAAGTCGCTAGTAACAGGGGAGATCCCAAAAAGTAAACAAAAGTAAAAGCCTAATATCTTGAAAACCAGTGAATATTTTTCGGTGAAATTTGGTAGATATTCGTTTTCGCTCTTTCTGAACCAAGGGACATCACTTTCATGCCAATTCATTAACTTTTTTGAAGGTGGGAGGGTCCCTTTAACCCTCGCATGTGTGCGGCGTTTTCCAGCTTCTAATGTGTAGGGGGAGGGGGGTCGGTCGGACCCCCTGCCGTTCGGTCCCTGATCGAGCTAGAGCTTCGCGGAAAAAAACGAGGGCATTGTCTGTGACGAGAGGAAGCCGATGAAACCCAATTTTAACCCTAGACCGCCTAGGGGGGGTTGTATCAACCCCCCCCCCCCTGAGGTTTTTTCGAAGTGCACGCTAAACGGCTTGTCGTAGCGGGCTGAAATTTTCAATACCCTCTGGGGCAACCTTTGCGCATCTTTTGCCGAAAAAAAATTGATCGGGTCATGTCAGGTCACGGAGTTATGACGCCATAAGAGGTACAGCCTCCGGCCGGATTTTCACAAACTGAGTGCCAACGCCCGAGGTTTCCTGCCGGTGGTACGGACATCGGTTGATGGATCGTGATGAAACTTCCCATGCATGTTGGGGCAAGTATTGGCTATCATATGGTATAAGAAATTTGACCGGGTCAGGTCAGGTCACGGAGCTATGACGTCACAAGTGGAACAGCGTCCGGTACTATTTTTGAAAAGCGCCCGAACCACTATTTTGCTAATTCTTGTCACCTCAATGGGAATATGCAGCAATATTAGCTTCTATAGGGAGCAAATGGACCTCCCAAATCCAAAAATACAATCAGATTTCAAAAATTTAAA